GGCGGGAAACGTCGGATTTTGGGTGGCGGAGCCCTGACGGCGCCGTCCGCAGATCCCGTACCGCGGGCAGGCCCTGGAGCTCATCCGGATGCGCAACCCCTGGGGAGAGGTGGAGTGGACGGGCGCCTGGAGCGACGGGTGAGGCTTCGTTAGCGCCGGGCTCGTTAGCGCCGGACGAGCCGGGGCCCTGCTGACCCCGCTGTCCCCGCAGCTCGGCCGAGTGGCACGCGGTGGAGCGGCGCTGCGCCAGCAGCTCATGGTCAAGATGGAGGACGGCGAATTCTGGTAGGGGAAACTCCAACCCGAGCCCCTTTTCCCGCCCGTTCCGAGCCTGGAGACGAGCTCGGACTCTTCCTGCAGGATGTCCTTCCGGGATTTCCTGCGGGAGTTCACCCGCCTGGAGATCTGCAACCTCACCCCGGACGCGCTGCAGTCCCGCAAGTTCCGCAAGTGGAACACGCAGCTCTACCGACGGGACGTGGGCGGCGCGGCAGCACCGCCGGCGGCTGCCCGCAAACTACCCCGGTACGCGCCGGGGGGCGGCCCCCGGGCCCGCGGGGCCGGGCGCCCGCTGAGCCCCCCTCTGCCCCCCTCCGCAGCCACGTTCTGGATCAACCCCCAGTTCAAGATCCAGCTGGAGGAGGTGGATGATGACAGGGACGAGGACGGCGGGCGCGAGCCGGGCTGCAGCTTCCTGCTGGCGGCTGATGCAGAAGCACCGGCGCCGCGAGCGCCGCTACGGCAAGGACATGGAGGGACCATTGGATTCGCTGTCTATGAGGTAGCGGGGGTCAGTTAGGGTCAACCGGCCTTGACAGGGGGTCAACCACCATCAACTGGGGTCAACTGGCATCAACTGGGGGCAGCCACCATCAACTGGGGTCAGCTGGGATCAGTTGGGGTCAATCACCATCAACTGGGGTCAACTGGCACCAGCTGAGGTCAGCTGGCATCAACTGGCACTAACTGGGGTCATCTAGAGTCACCTGGGGTCTGTTGGCATCAGCTGGGGCCAACCCAGCACGAGCTGGCCTCCGGTTTTCAGCTGTGGTCACCAATGGTCCCGTCGGGGTCAACTGGCATTCACTGGGGTCACCTGGCACCAACCAAGGTCCCCTCTCTCCGCACAGGTCCCTCCCGAGGTGGGTTCCATGCACCGGCGGTGCCGTTTCGGGGCAGGCCGCCCCCGGGGCCGATTTTGGGGGCCGTTTTTTGGGGCCGTTCTGGAGCGTTTCCCCCCGGTGCCCGCAGTACGTGGGGAGGTCGGGCGTGCACCTGAAGCGGGAGTTCTTCCTGGCCAACGCGTCGCGCGCGCGCTCCGAGCAGTTCATCAACCTGCGCGAGGTGAGCACGCGCTTCCGCCTGCCGCCCGGCGAGTACATCGTGGTGCCCTCCACCTTCGAGCCCAACAAGGAGGGCGACTTCGTGCTCCGCGTCTTCTCCGAGAAGAAAGCCGGCACCGAGTAAGCGCCGCCACCGCCGCCCGGGGCCGCGCCCCGCGCTCCGCCCGCTCTGTGTCTGCCTGTCTGTCTGTCCTGTCCACAGGGAGATGGACGACCAAGATCCAGGCCACGCTGCCGGACGAGGTCAGCCGGGGACGGGAGGATGGGTGGGCGGGGTGTTGGGGTGGGGCGGTTCCCAAAATGGCCGCTTCTTCCCCCGGGGCGGTTCCCAAAATGGCCGCTTTGGGCGGTTCCCAAAATGGCCGCTTCTTGCCCCGGGGCGGTTCCCAAGAGGTTCCCAAAATGGCCGCTTTGGGCCGTTCCCAAAATGGCCACTTTTCCCCCCAGAAAGTGCTGAGGGAGAGTGAAATCGATGAGAACTTCAAGCAGCTCTTCAAGCAGCTGGCGGGGCCGGTAAGGAGCGGTGGCGATTGGCCGTGACCTCAGGGGTCAATGGTGATGTCATTGGTTGATGATGATGTCGTTGGTTGGCCGTGATGTCACTGGTTGTAGATGACATCATTCATTGGCCATGATGTCATTGGCTGGCTGTGACATCATTGATTGTAGATGACATCATTCGTTGGCCATGATGTCATTGGCTGGCCGTGATGTCATTGGTTAGCAATGACATCATTTGTTGGCCATTACATTACTGGTTGCCCATGATGTCATTGGTTAGCAATGACATCACTTGGTGATGGTGTCATTAGTTAGCTGTGATGTCATTGGTTGTCAATTACATAATTGGTTGGCCATGACATCACTGGTTTGCCACGACGTCGTTGGTTGGTCGTGATGTCACTGGTCGGCCATGACATCACTGTTGGTCATGACATCACTGGCTGCCGATGACGTCACTGGTTGCCGATGACATCACTGCCCATCGGTGACCCCGTGTCCCCTCCCCAGGACCTGGAGATCAGCGTCACCGAGCTCCAGACCATCCTCAACCGCATCATCGCCAAACGTGAGCCGGGCTCTGGGGGAGTTCCACCCCAACTGACCCCGCCCCCCTCATTAGCATCTCATTAACCCCCCCAAACCGCCAATTGCAGACAAGGATCTGCGCACCAAGGGCTTCAGCCTGGAGTCCTGCCGGAGCATGGTGAACCTGATGGACGTATCCTGAACCTGGGGGCTCTGGGGGGCTCGGGGGCACCCCTGGGACCCCCCTTTCCTTAACCCCCCTCCCCCAGAAAGACGGGAACGGGAAACTGGGGCTGGTGGAGTTCAACGTGCTCTGGAACCGCATCCGCAACTACCTGGTGGGTCTGGGGGCTGCTGGGGGTCTGGCTCAGGGGGGACCCCCATTCTGGGGAGGTTTGGGGTCTGGCTCAGGGGGGACCCCCATTCTGGGGGGGCTTGGGGTCTGTCTCATGGGGGGCCCCCATTCTGGGGGCATTTTGGGGTCTGTCTCATGGGGGACCCCCATTCTGGGGGGGTCTGGGGTCTGGCTCAGGGGGGACCCCCATTCTGGGGGGGTTTGGGGTCTGTCCTCATGGGAAACCCCCCATTCTGGGGGGATTTTGGGGTCTGTCTCGTGGGGGACCCCCATTTTGGGGGGATTTTTGGGTCTGTCCTCATGGGTGACCCCTGTTCCTTTGGGGAGGGATTTTGAGGTACATTGGGGTGTTTTGGTGACCCCTGCTCCTTTGTGGGGGGATTTTGGGGGATTTTGGGGGTGTTTTAGGTGACCCCTGTTCCTTTGGGGGGATTTTGGGGTATTTTGGGTGACCCCTGCTCCTCGGGGGGGATTTTGGGGTATTTTGGGGGTATTTTGGGTGACCCCTGCTCCTCTGGGGGCATTTTGGGGTACACTGGGGGTATTTTGGGTGACCCCTGCTCCTCGGGGGGGATTTTGGGGTATTTTGGGGGTATTTTGGGTGACCCCTGCTCCTCGGGGGGCTGTTCCTGCCAGAGCATCTTCCGCAAGTTCGACCTGGACAAGTCTGGCTCCATCAGTGCCTACGAGCTGCGCCTGGCCCTGGAGGCTGCAGGTGACCCCCGGGACCCCCCCAGGACCCCCCCTGGGACCCCCCCAGGACCCCTCCCGTCCCCAGGGCCCCGGTGACCCCGGGCTGTGCCCTGTGCCCCATCCCAGGGTACCAGCTGAACAAGAGGCTGCACGAGCTGCTCATCACCCGCTACGCCGAGCCCGACCTGGCCCTGGACTTCGACAGCTTCGTCTGCTGCCTCGTGCGCCTGGAGACCATGTTCCGTGAGTGAGCGCCCCGAGCAGACCCTCCCACACCATCCCAAAGGATCCCAAATGATCCCAAACCACCCCAAATCCTCCCACACCATCCCAAAGGATCCCAGACCATCCCCCCTGTCCAACCCTGACCATCCCAAAGGATCCCAGACCATCCCAAACCATCCCAGACCATCCCAAACCATCCCAGACCATCCCAAATGATCCCAAACCCTCCCACACCATCCCAGACCCTCCCACACCATCCCAAACGATCCCAAAGGATCCCAAATGATCCCAAACCACCCCAAACCACCCCCAATGATCCCAAACCATCCCAAACCATCCCCCCGTCCAACCCTGAGTGATCCCAAACCATCCCCAATGATCCCTCCCATGCAATCCTGAGTAAACCCAAATGATCCCAAACCATCCCTCCCACCCCAATCCCGAACCATTCCAGCCTTCCTGACCACGCTTTTCCCTCACAAATGGAATTTTCCAGAATCCCTTTCCCTCCCCTCAGGGTTTTTCCAAGCCATGGACGTGGACCAGGACGGGGTCGTCACGTTCGACCTGCTGCAGGTACCAGGGGAGCTCAGGGCCTTCCTCCTCCTCTTCCTCCTCCTTTTTCTCCTCCTCTCCCTCCTTCTCTTGCTTTCCCCCCTCTTTCTTCACCCTCTCCTGCTGCCCTTCCTCCCTCACCCTCCTCCTCCTCCTCCTTCTCCCCAGTGGCTCCAGCTCACCATGTTCGCCTGACCGAACCCTCCAAGTGCCTTCAACCACCCCGCGCCGGTTTTTCCCTTTTTTTGGCTTTTTTTCAGCAGAAAAGGCTGGATGGGGGGGTGGGGTGGGGGTCACACAGGACCCCCCCGAGCTTTGCCAAAGCCCCCTGTCCCTCCTCACCTCACGCTCGGCCCTTTTGGGGCAAATCCTCTGGATTTTGGTGCCTCCTGTGCTGACGGAGCCCCGGCCGTCGTCCTTCGCTTCAGGGATCTGCTGCCCCCGGGTGCCATCAAGTGATTTTTTTATTGTATAAATTAAAAATGAGATATAAACCAAAGAAAAAAAATATTATTTAAGTCAAAACTCCTTTTTGTGGCAGTTCTTTCTCCCTCTCAAGGCGAGGGGGTGAGGGGATCTCAAGGTACTGCAAAATATCAGGTTTAGGGGTTGTCTTGGGGTTATGGATCCCAGATTCGGGGTTATATTCATATACTTTTGGGATATTTTGGTGGTTTTCACTTAAAACCTGGGGATGTCTCCTGGGCGGGGGGTGCAGGATGAGGCTGCTGTGAATCGCAGGGGATGAGGGGATGGGCAGGGAGGGGACCCCAGACCCGGGGCAGAATCTCCAGGGCAGGTGCGACCCCCGGGCCCGAGCAGGACCCTCCATACCCGCCGGTTCGACCCCTCGGACCCGGTTCCACCTCTCAGACCTGAGCAGGACCCTCCATACCCGGTTCCACCCCCCCATTCCCGGTTCCGCCCCCCCATTCCCGGTTCCGCCCCTCAGGCCCCGGCCGGGTTCGGTTCCCTCAGAGCCGCCTCAGCCCCGCCCCCTCAGCGCTCTGAGGGCGCGAATTTTCCCGCCCTTTTTTCCTCCCGCCCTTCTCCCCTCCCACCCCTGATGGGCGGTGCTTGGAGCACGCCGGTCCCGCCCCCTCACCCGCCCATCGCGCTCCCATTGGTCCGTTCTGTCTAAATTTGAATAACCACGCCTTTTACCCGTCCTTCGCCGCGCCTTTTCTCCTTATACGGCGTAGCCACGCCCTTCCCCTCGCGGAGCCGCGCCCGCGCTGTTCGAGCGCGGACATGGCGGAGCCGGGGATGGAGCCGGAGCTGGAACCGGAGCGGGGCCCGGAGGCGGTGACGGCCGAGGCGGTGCTGAGGGAGCTGCGGCTTTTCGAGCTGCGCTGCGAGGGCGAGGAAGTGCCCGACAAGCGTGAGGGCTCCGGGGGACGCGGCCTGTGGGGGGAGATGGAGGGGCTTGGGGAGGAGGAAGGGGTTTGGGGGTGTCAGGGGGGCTGTGAGGAGGGACTGGGGGTGTCAGAGGAGGTTTGAGGGTCCCAGGGGAGCTCTGAGGGGTTCTTTGGTTCACGGTGGCTGTTGTGGGGTCCAGGATTTTGGGACCTGCCGGGTTTGGAGGGGGCACAGAGAATTGAGGGGGTGATTGGGGGAAGGAGCCAAATGTTTTGTGGGGGAATCTCGGTGGGATTTGGGAGCCCCCTGAGTCCCCGTTCTCCCCTCAGTGGTGGAGCTGTGCCTGAGCCACGGGCTGGGCCCGGTGGCCTTGGCCAACGAGCTGCTGGCCTTCGTCACCAGCAAAGACCTGGACCTGCAGCTCACCCCCGAGGGCCTGGACGCCTTCGAGCACGAGGTGAGGGTCCCCAGGTCTCCCCTTCGATCCCCAGAAGGCCCCGGGATGGCCGGGAGCGCTCACCCCACGCCTGTCCTGCTGCCCCAGGTGCTGGCAAAGCGCGGCAGCCGCGGGCGGCGCGGGAGGGACGAGCGCCGGGGGCTGCTCCACGACATCCACTCGCTCCAGGAGCTGTATCCTCACATCCCAGGGGATCCTGAGGTTATCCTGAAATCCTGAGGAGATCCTGAGGAGATCCCGAAATCCCAGGAGATCCCAAAATCCTGAGGAGATCCCGAGCTTATCCTCACATCCCCAGGAGCTCCCAAGCTTATCCCAACATCCTGAGGAGATCCTGAGCAGTTTTGGGGGCTCTGGCAGAAAATGGGGGCCCTGAGCTGTCCCAGATCCCCAGGGAGAGGCTGGGAATGGGAGGAATTCTCAGATTTTGGGTTCCACCCCAAACCAGGAGCGTTTTTAGCCCTTAACCAAGAGCAGCCTGGACGAGGAGCAGGAGGACGAGCTGCTGGACGCCTACACCACCCCGTCCAAGGTGGGAGCCACCCCAAACCCGTGGGGTTTGCCATAAATGCACCCACAAAGGTCACTGTGCTGTGCCTGTTCCCTGCAGGGCCCCCACAAGCGCAGCAATTCCACACCTGAGACCCCCCGGGCCAAGCGGGCGCCGTCCTCCCGCAGCCCCTCGGGGCTCTTCTCCCCCGGCAGCTTCTCCCCGAGGTCAGTCAGGGCTCCTCAGTCAGCTTTTCCTTCTTTGCTTCCTGCCTTTCCCTTAAAATCCCAAATCTTTGTGGGAGTTGGATTTTGGAGCATTTCAGCTCTGTAAATTTGGGGGGAATCGTTAAATCCACCCCGAACTTGCAATTCCAAAGCCTTTAAAGCTACAAACATTTATTTTTAAAGCCACATTGATCAACCCAAGCTAAAATCCTGAATCATTGTGGGAGTTGAATTTTGGAGCATTTTAGCTCTGTAAATTCGGGGGGAATCATTAAATCCACCCTGAACTTGCAATTACAAAGCCATTAAAGCTACAAACTTTAATTATTTTTAAATAAATGTTAATTAGTCACATTAACCACATTAATCAACCCAAACTAAAATCCCAAATCATTGTGGGAGTTGAATTCATTGAGCATTTTAGAAGCTCTGTAAATTTGGGGTGAATTGTTAAATTACCTTGCAATTCCAAAGCCTTTAAACCTACAAATCTTTCTTTTTAAAGCCACATTGATCAACCCAAGCTAAAATCCTAAATCATTGTGGGAGTTGGATTTTGGAGCATTTTACAGCTGTAAATTCGGGGGGAATCGTTAAATTCCTCACCCAACGCTTTGCAATCCTAAAGCCTTTAAACCTACAAACATTTATTTTTAAATAAATGTTAATTAAACACATTAACCACATTGATCAACCCAAACTAAAATCCCAAATCATTGTGGGAGTTGAATTTTGGAGCATTTTACAGCTGTAAATTCGGGGGGAATCGTTAAATTCCTCACCCAACGCTTTGCAATCCCAAAGCCTTTAAAGCCACAAACTTTAATTCTTTCTAAAGCCTCATTAACCAGCCCAAAGCCCCGAAACCCCTCTGCTCCCGGGGGATTCAGCCCTTCAGGCCCCACGTGGTGCTCAGGGCAGGGGTGACAAAACAGAAAACCCCAAATCCCCCGAATTTCCAGGGGGTTCAGCCCCAACTCCCGGCCCTGTTCTGTGCCCACAGCGCCGCCCCCCTCCCAGAAGTACCCGAGCAGGGGCGGCCGGGGCGAGGTCGTGGCCTCGTTCGGGGCCTCGTTCGGGGCCTCGTTCGGGGCCGCGCGGGGCCCGGCCTGGGGCGGCGGCGGCGGCGTCAGAACCTTCGGGAGCCCCGAGCGGAGCCTGAGCAAACCCTACAGGTTCATGTTCCAGAAGGCGCTGGACGTCAGGGAAGGTGGGCGGGGACACGGGGGGACACGGGGACACCCGGGGGGGACACGGGGGACAGCCCCGGATCCAGGGGGGTCGGGGTCAGGGGGTGTTTGGTGACACCAAACAGGGGTCAGGGGTCACTCAGGGGTCAGAGCTCAGGGGTTGTTTGGTGACCCCGGGGTCACTCAGGGGTCAGGGTTGGGGTCAGAGGTCAGGGTTGGGGTCAGGGGTTGTTTGGTGACCCTGTGGTCACCCAGGGGTCAGGGGTCAGGGGTTGGGATCCAGGTCAGGGTTGGGGTCAGAGGTCAGGGTTGTTTGGTGACCCCAGGGTTACTCAGGGGTCACTCAGGGGTCAGAGGTCAGGGTCGTTTGGTGACCCCGGGGTCACTCAGGGGTCACCCAGGGGTCAGAGGTCAGGGTTGTTTGGTGACCCAGGGGTTGGGGTCAGAGGTCAGGGTTGTTTGGTGACCCCAGGGGTCAGAGGTCAGGGTTGTTTGGTGACCGCGGGGTCACTCAGGGGTCAGGGGTCAGGGTTGGGGTCAGAGGTCAGGGTTGTTTGGTGACCCCCGGGGTCACTCAGGGGTCACCCAGGGGTCAGAGGTCAGGGTTGTTTGGTGACTCAGGGGTCACTCAGGGGTCAGGGTTAGGGTCAGAGGTCAGGGTTGTTTGGTGACCCCATCCCCCCAGTGCTGGCCGAGCGGGTCGAGGCGCTCGGGGAGGTTCTGCGGAGGCACCACGGCCTGGACGGCTTCAGCTGCGCCGCGCTCCCTGCGCAGGTGAGGCCCCGCGCCCTGCGGGGTGAGAGAGACCCCCCCCATGTCCTGCTAAACATCCCCATTTGGGGTGAATCCCCCCCCATGTCCTGCTAAACCTCCCCATTTGGGGTGAGACCCCCCCATGTCATGCTAAACATCCCCATTTGGGGTGAGACCCCCCCCATGTCCTGCTAAACCCTCCCCATTTGGGGTGAGAGAGACCCCCCCATGTCCTGCTAAACATCCCCATTTGGGGTGAGAGAGACCCCCCCATGTCCTGCTAAACCTCCCCATTTGGGGTGAGAGAGACCCCCCCATGTCCTGCTAAACCTCCCCATTTGGGGTGAGAGAGACCCCCCCCATGTCCTGCTAAACATCCCCATTTGGGGTGAGAGAGACCCCCCCATGTCCTGCTAAACATCCCCATTTGGGGTGAAACCCTCCCCATTTTGTGCTAAACATCCCCATTTGGGGTGAGACCCCCCCATGTCATGCTAAACATCCCCATCTTGGGGTGGAACCCCCTGTTCTGGTGTGAATCTCCCCTGCTTTGTGTTAAATCCTCTCCTTTTGGTTTAAACCCTTCTGTTTTGGGGTGAATCCCCCCCATTTGGGGTTAATCCCTAGGTTAAACCCCCCATTTTGTGTTAACCCCCCCCCCCCATTTTGTGTTAAAATCCCCATTTTCTGTTAATCCCCCCCATTTTGGGTTAAACCCCCCATTTTGTGTTCCCCCCTATTTTGGGTTAAAATCCCCATTTTCTGTTAATCCCCCCATTTTGGGTTAAAATCCCCATTTTGTGTTAATCCCCCCCCCCATTTTGGGTTAAAATCCCCATTTTGTGTTAACCCCCCCTATTTTGGGTTAAAATCCCCATTTTGTGTTAATCCCCCTGTCCCATTTTGGGTTAAAATCCCCATTTTCTGCCCCCCTGCCCCATTTTGGGTTAAAATCCCCATTTTCTGTTAATCCCCCCCTATTTTGGGTTAAAATCCCCATTTTCTGCCCCCCCTGCCCCATTTTGGGTTAAAATCCCCATTTTCTGTCCCCCCTGCCCCATTTTGGGTTAAACCCCCCCTGTTTTCTGTCCCCCCTGCCCCATTTTGGGGTGCATTGGCCCCGTGTGGGTGGGCAGGAGCCGCTGACGGTGCTGGGCCGGATCGGCTGTGATGGGAACGGGAAGCTGAACCCCAAATCCGTGCTGCTGCTGGGGGACAGGGAGCACTCGGGGGGGGCCCAGGTGCCCCTGGACCTCTCGGAGCTTCCGGAATATTCCCTGTTCCCAGGGCAGGTCAGGATGGGGGCATCCCCCTTGTCCCCCCCAGTTCCTGCCCCTTGTCCCCCCCCAATTCCTGCTCATTTTCCCCAATTCCTGCCCCTTTTGCCCCAATTCCTGCCCCTTTTGCCCCAATTCCGGCCCCTTGTCCCCAATTCCTGCCCCTTTTGCCCCAATTCCTGCCCCTTGTCCCCAATTCCTGCCCCATTTTTCTCCATTTTCCTTCATTCCTGCCCCCTTGTCCCCAATTCCTGCCCCTTTTTCCCCGTTTTCCCCCCCAATTCCCACCCCTTTTCCCTTATTCCCGCCCCTTTTCCCTTATTCCCACCCTTTTTCCCAATTTCCCAATTTCCCCCAATCCCTCAGGTGGTGGCTCTGGAAGGCACCAACACCACGGGCAGGAGGATGGTGGTGACCAAACTCTACGAGGTGACCCCAGATTGGGGGAGATTTGGGGTGGATTTGGGGGAATTGGGGTGGAATTGGGGCATTTGGGGTGGAATTGGGGGAATTGGGGCATTTTGGGTTGGATTTGGGGTGGAATTGGGGCATTTTGGGGTGGATTTGGGGCATTTTTTGCCATTCCTGCCTTTCCCAGGGGGTCCCTCTGCCCTTCCACACCCCCACGGAGCCCATGGCAGGTGAGCTGCACTTTCTGTCCCCATTTCTGCCCCCAAATCCTCATTTTTATCCCCAAAGTTCCCTTTGGATTCCATCTCCCCCTTTTTCTCCCTTTCTGTCCCCAAACTCCTTTATTTTCCCCAAATCCCCTTTTCCCCCTCCCAAACCCCATTTTCCCAAACCCCATTTTCCCCAAATTCCCCATTATTTCCCCAATCCCCATTTTTCCCCAAAAAACCCCTTTTTTTCCAGAAATCCCATTTTTTCCCCCCAAAACCCCAATTTTTTCTCCCAAAACCACCATTTCTTCTCCCAAAAACCCCTTTTTTTCCCCAAAACCCCAATTTTTCCCCCCAATCCCCATTTTCCCCAAATTTCCCATTATTCCCCAATCCCCATTATTTCCCCCATTATTTCCCCCATTATTCCCCCATTATTCCCCCATTATTCCCCATTATTATTTCCTCCATTATTTCCCCACTATTCCCCCATCATTCCCCCATTATTCCCCATTATTCCCCCATTATTTCCCCCATTATTCCCCATTATTTCCCCCATTATTCCCCATTATTCCCCCATTATTCCCCCATTATTCCCCCACTATTCCCCCATTATTCCCCCATTATTTCCCCCATTATTTCCCCATTATTCCCCCATTATTTCCCCATTATTCCCCCATTATTCCCCATTATTCCCCCATTATCCCCCCCATTATTCCCCCATTATTCCCCCATTATTTCCCCATTATTTCCCCATTATTTCCCCATTATCACCCCATTTTTCCCCCATTATTCCCCCATTATTCCCCCATTATTCCCCATTATTTCCCCATTATTTCCCCAGCCCCGTGCTCGGTGCTCGTTGCCTGTGGTCCCTTCACGCCCTCGGACAGCGCCGCCTTCGAGCCCCTCCGGGACCTCCTGGACGTGGTGGAGCGGGACCGCCCCGACCTCTGCATCCTGGTGGGGAATTCAGTAATTAATGAAGGCCTCCTTCATTAGCGGCGCGGTTTAATTAATGAGCGCCTCATTAGCGGCGCGGTTTAATTAATGAACGCCTCATTAGCGGCGCGGTTTAACAAACGGCGCCATCATCACCCCGAGCCCGCGGCCTCCAACGCGGGGGAGGCTCCAAACCCCCAGAATTCACATTAAAATCCCATTGCTGACCCCAAACCCCTCATTGTTCACCCTAAAAGTGCCCAAACCTCTCATTGTTCACCCCTAAAATGCCCCAAATCTCTGATTGTTCACCCCTAAAATGCCCCAAATCTCTGATTGTTCACCCAAAAGTGCCCAAATCTCTCATTTTTCACCCAAAAATGCTCCAAACCCCTCATTTTTCACCCAGAAGTGCCCAAACCTCTCATTGTTCACCCCAAAAATGCCCCAAATCTCTCATTTTTCACCCTTAAAATGCCCCAAACCCTCTCATTGTTCACCTAAAAGTGCCCAAATCTCTCATTTTTCTCCTAAAAGTGCCCAAACCCTCTCATTTTTCACCCCAAGAGTGCCCCAAACCTCTCATTTTTCACCCACAACCCCCAAAATCCTCATTTCTCAGCCCAAAGTGCCAGAAAATCTCAATTTGAAGAGCAAACCCAGCCCTTGGAGGCAAATCCCTGTTCCCTCTCTGGGCACAAAGCACCAATTTCAGCAATTTCCCCTTTTCGGGCTCATTTTGCCCTGAAATTTTGGGGGTTTGGGCTGAAATTTGGGTTCATTGATGAATGAATTATTAAAATGATATATTTTATAATATATAATTATTAAAATTATATATTATATAATTATTAAAATTATATATTTTATAGTTATTTTAAATTCTATTTTTGGGGTGATTTTTTGCTGATTTTCTCCATTTTTTGGGGGGTGTGGGCTAAAATTTGGGTTCATTGATGAATGAATTATTAAAGTTATATATTTTATAATATATAATTATTAAAATTATATAATATATAATTATTAAAATTATATGCTTATTTTAAATCATATTTTTGGGGTGATTTTTTTGCTGATTTTCTCAATTTTTGGGGGGGTGTGGGCTAAAATCTGGGGTTCATTGATGAGAATTATCAAAAATTGTATTTTTTGGGGGCTGATTTTTTGCCGATTTTCTCCGTTTTCCCCCAGTTTGGGCCCTTCCTGGACGCCAAGCACGAGCAGGTGGAGGTGAGGAGGGGCCCCCAAATCCCCTCAGTCCCTGCAGCTCTGGGGAGCCCCAAATCCCCAGAATCCCTGGGATTGTGCAAATCCTGGGATTCTGCCCCATTCCAGGGCTGCCAGCTCCTGAGCCCCTTCCCGGACGTGTTCAGGCTCTGCCTCAGGACCATCATCGAGGGCACCCGGAGGTGGGGATGGGAACACCCCAAACTCCTCATCCCAAATTCCCCACCCCAAACTCCCCACCCCAAATTCCCCACCCCAAATTCCCCACCCCAAATTCCCCACCCCAAATTCCCCATCCCAAAATCCCCATCCCAAACTCCCCACCCCAAATTCCCCACCCCAAATTCCCCACCCCAAATTCCCCACCCCAAATTCCCCATCCCAAATTCCCCATCCCAAATTCCCCACCCCAAATTCCCCATCCCCAAATTCCCCACCCCAAATTCCCCACCCCAAATTCCCCACCCCAAATTCCCCACCCCAAACTCCCCACCCCAAATTCCCCATCCCCAAATTCCCCACCCCAAATTCCCCATCCCCAATTCCCCATCCCAAATTCCCCACCCCAAATTCCCCATCCCAAATTCCCCACCCCAAATTCCCCATCCCCAAATTCCCCACCCCAAATTCCCCATCCCAAACTCCCAATCCCCAAATTCCCCACCCCAAATTCTCCATCCCAAATTCTCCATCCCAAATTCCCCACCCCAAATTCCCCACCCCAAATTCCCCACCCCAAATTCCCCAGCCCCAAAATTCCCCACCCCAAATTCCCCATCCCAAATTCCCCACCCCAAATTCCCCATCCCAAATTCCCCATCCCAAATTCCCCATCCCAAATTCCCCACCCCAAATTCCCCATCCCAAATTCCCCATCCCAAATTCCCCACCCCAAACTCCCCATCCCCAATTCCCCATCCCAGGGGGTTTGTCCCAAAATCACCACTTTCCATCCCAAAATCGCCACTTCTCACCCCAAAATCGCCACTTTCCACCCCAAAATCACCACTTTTCACCCCAAAACTCTCATTTTTCCTCCCCAATCCCATTTTTCCCTCTTTTCCCCAGTGCTGGTTTTGGTGCCCTCACTCTGGTGCTCACAGAACCAGCCCCAAATTCCCCATTCCCTCAGGATTTTTCCCCAAAATCTCCACTTTTCACCCCAAAAATCTCTCTTTTTCCCCCCTCCAATCCCAATTTTCCCTCTTTCTCCCCAGCTCGGCTCCCAGCTGGTTCTGGTGCCCTCACTCTGGGGACGTCTCCCAGGATGTGCTCACAGAACCAGCCCCAAATTCCCCATTCCCACGGGGATTTTTTCCCAAAATCACCACTTTTCACCCCAAACCTCTCTCATTCCCCATTTTCCCCATTTTTCCCTCCCCAGCTCTGGCTCCCAGCTGGTTTTGGTGCCCTCACTCTGGTGCTCACAGAACCAGCCCCAAATTCCCCATTCCTATGGGATTTTTTTTCCCAAAATCCCCATTTTTCACCCCAAACCTCTCTCATTCCCCATTTTCCCCGTTTTTCTCCCCAGCTCTGGCTCCCAGCTGGTCCTGGTGCCCTCTCTCCGGGACGTCTCCCACCCCCCCGTGTACCCTCAGCCGCCCTTCTCCCTCCCGGACCTGCCCAAGGAGGACAGAGCGGTACCGGCCCCAAAACTCGCGCTTTTCACCCCAAAACGTCCCTGGGGATCTGGGGAACGTTTTGGGGATTTAAGGGAAACTCGATGGGGTTGGGGTGGTTTTGGGGTGGTTTTGGGGTGGTTTTGGGGTGGTTTTGGGGTGAATTAGGGCAAATTTGGGGCATTCCAGGTGGGTTTGGGGCATTTTAGGAGGATTTGGGGCATCCTGGGGCTCACAGGGCTGTCCGTGTGTCCATCCCATGTCTGCGTGTCCATCCCGTGTCCATCTCATGTCCATCCCGTGTGTCCGTGTGTCCATCCCATGTGTCCATCCCGTGTGTCCATGTGTCCATCCCATGTGTCCGTGTGTCCATCCTGTGTGTCCGTGTGTCCATCCCGTGTGTCCATCCCATGTCCATGTGTCCATCCCGTGTGTCCATCCCATGTCCGTGTGTCCGTGTCCATCCCGTGTGTCCATCCTGTGTGTCCGTGTGTCCATCCCGTGTGTCCATGTGTCCATCCCCTGTGTCCGTGTGTCATCCCATGTGTCCGTGTGTCCATCCCATGTCCGTGTGTCCATCCCGTGTCCATCCCCTGTGTCCATCCCGTGTCCATCCCGTGTCCATCCCGTGTCCATCCCGTGTCCATCCCATGTCCGTGTGTCCATCCCGTGTCCATCCCGTGTCCATCCCGTGTCCATCCCGTGTATCCGTGTGTCCATCCCATGTCCATCCCGTGTCCATCCCGTGTGTCCCTGTGTCCATCCCATGTCCGTGTGTCCGTGTGTCCATCCCGTGTCCATCCCGTGTCCATCCCGTGTCCATCCCATGTCCGTGTGTCCATCCCGTGTCCATCCCGTGTCCATCCCGTGTCCATCCCATGTCCGTGTGTCCATCCCGTGTCCATCCTGTGTCCGTGTGTCCATCCCATGTCCGTGTGTCCATCCCGTGTCCGTCCCGTGTCCATCCCGTGTCCCTGGCGTGTCCAGCGCGTGCTCCTGGTGCCGGATCCCTGCACCCTGGACGTTGATGGCGTCGTCCTGGGCCTCACCTCCACCGACCTCCTCCTGCACCTGGGGGCTGAGGAGATTTGCAGGTGCCACTTCCCCTTTCTGACTTTTTCCCTTTTTTCCGCCTTTTCCCCCCATTTTTAACCTTTTCCCCTCTCTGTTCCCTTTCCTCCCCTTTCTTTCATCTCCCCCCCTTTTTCACCATTTTCCTCTTTCTTTCTTTACCTTTTTCTCCTCTCCCTTTTCTCTCCTCCCTTTGCCCCCCAATCCCCTCTTTCTCCCCATTTTCCTCTCCCATTTTCCCCTTTTTTTCCCACCCATTTTTTCCCGTTTCCTCCCTTTTTTCACCCGTTTCTCTCCCGTTCCTCCCGCAGCTCCCCCGGGGTCTCCGATCGCTTCACGCGGATCCTGCGGCACGTCCTGACCCAGCGCAGGTGAGAGCCCCAAAATCGGCTTTTTCTGACCAAAACCCCTCTTTGCTCCCCAAAATCCCCTTTATCCTCCCCAAAATCCCTCCTTCCTTCCCAAAAATCGGCTTTTTCTGCCCAAAACCCCTCTTTGCTCCCCAAAATCCCCTTTATCCTCCCCAAAATCCCTCCTTCCTCCCCAAAAAATGGCTTTTTCTGCCCAAAACCCCTCCTTCCTCCCCAAAATCCCCTTTATCCTCCCCAAAATCCCCTCCTTCCTTCTCAAAACTCCTCTTTCCTCCCCCAAAATCCCCTTTTTCTCACCCCAAATCCACTCATTCCTCCCCAAATCCCATTTCCCTCCCCAAATCCCCATTTTTTCTCCCCAAAATCCCCATTTCTCACCCCAAATCCCCATTTCCCTCCCCAAATCCCATTTTCCTCCCCAAAATCCCCATTTCTCACCCCAAACCCCCTTTTTCCCTCCCCAAAATCCCCATTTCTCACCCCAAATCCCATTTCTCACCCCAAATCCCCTTTTCCCTCCCCAAATCCCCATTTCTCACCCCAAAATCCCCATTTCTCACCCCAAATCCCCATTTCCCTCCCCAAATCCCCATTTCTCACCCCAAATCCCCATTTCCCTCCCCAAATCCCCATTTCCCTCCCCAAATCCCCATTTCTCACCCCAAATCCCCATTTTTCCTCCCCAAATCCCATTTCTCACCCCAAATCCCCATTTCCCTCCCCAAATCCCCATTTCCCTCCCCAAATCCCCATTTCTCACCCCAAATCCCCATTTCTCACCCCAAAATCCCCATTTCTCACCCCAAATCCCCATTTCCCTCCCCAAATCCCCATTTCTCACCCCAAATCCCCATTTCTCACCCCAAATCCCCATTTCTTACCCCAAATCCCATTTCTCACCCCAAATCCCCATTTCTCACCCCAAATCCCCATTTCCCTCCCCAAATCCCCATTTCTCACCCCAAATCCCCATTTCCCTCCCCAAATCCCATTTTCCTCCCCAAATCCCCATTTCTCACCCCAAATCCCCGTTTTTCCCAGTTTCTACCCCCTGTACCCCCCCTCTGAGGAGCTCAACGTGGATTTCGAGGCTCTGGGGGCGTTCGCGGCGCTGCCGGTGACCCCGGACGTGCTGGTGACGCCCTCGGAGCTGCGCTTCTTCATCAAGGTGGGACCCTGAGAGACCCCTGAGAGACCCCTGAGAGACCCCTGAGAGACCCCTGGGACCCTGAGAGACCCCTGGGAGACCCCTGAGAGACCCCAGAGACCCCTGGTCCCCCCCCGGGGTGAATTTCATCAGGAAGAGCCCCAGGAAGGGCCGGGATGGGGATGGGGGCGCACAAATCCCCCGGGCTTGGTGGGTGTTGGGGTCTGGAGGGGCTGGGAGGGACTCAAAGCACCCGGACCTGGGGGCTGGAGGGGCTGGGGGGTCCCAGATCCTTTGTATTGATGGGTGTTTTACTCCCCCTGCTGTCCCCACCCCTGTCCCTGTCCCCTGTCCCTGTTCCTGTCCCTGTTCCCTGTCCTTGACCCCATCCCTGTCCCTGTCCCTGTCCCCATCCTTGCCCCGTCCTCTTGTCCCTATCACTGTCCCAATCCCCATCTCTGTCCTTGTCCCCTTGTCCCTGTCCCCATCCCCTTTTCCACATCCCTGTCCCCCTGTCCCCCTGTCCCTCTGTCCCCCTGTCCCTGTCCCTCTATCCCCCTGTCCTTGTCCCCCTGTCCCTGTCCCCCTGTCCCTGTCCCTCTGTCCCTCTGTCCCTGTCCCTCTGTCCCTCTATCCCTGTCCTTCTGTCCCCCTGTCCCTCTGTCCCTCTATCCCTGTCCCTCTGTCCCCCTGTCCCTGTCCCTGTCCCTGTCCCCCTGTCCCTCTGTCCCTGTCCCCCTGTCCCTCTGTCCCTGTCCCTCTGTCCCTCTGTCCCTCAGGACGTCCTGGGCTGTGTCTGCATCAACCCCGGGCGTTTGACCAAGGGCCAGGCCGGGGGCACCTACGGGCGGCTGCTGCTGCGGAGGGACGGACACGGGGACGGACACGGGGACGGACAAGGGGATGGACACAGGGATGGACACAGGGACGGACACGGGGACGGACACGGGGATGGACACGGGGACGGACAGAGGGATGGACAGGGGGATGGACAGAGGGACGGGGATGGGGACGGACAAGGGGACATTCCCAGGGACATTCCCAGGGACGTTCCCGGGGCCGCCCCCCGGCGCAGCCCCTGCGTGGCCGCCCAGATCGTGAGGATCTGAGCCCCAGCCCTGCCCCTCCCCACGCGGGGCTGCAGAACCGGGGAGAAACTCCTGGAATTTGGGGTGAAATTCCTGGAATTGGGGAGAAACTCCTGGAATTGGGGAGAAACTCCTGGAATTGGGGAGAAACGCCTGGAATTGGGGTGAAATTCCTGGAATTGGGGAGAAACTCCTGGAATTTGGGAGAAACGCCTGGAATTGGGGTGAAACTCCTGGAATTTGGGGTGAAGCTCCTGGAATTGGGGTGAAATTCCTGGAATTGGGGAGAAACGCCTGGAATTGCGACTGAAATTCCTGGAATTGGGGAGAAACTCCTGGAATTTGGGGTGAAACTCCTGGAATTCGGGCAAAATTCCTGGAATTGCAGTGAAACTCCTGGAATTTGGGCAAAATTCCTGGAATTGGGGAGAAACTCCTGGAATTGGGGTGAAACTCCTGGAATTCCTGTTCAAGCTCCTGGAATTCTGGTTAAAGCTCCTGGAATTTGGGTTAAAGCTCCTGGAATTCGGGTTAAAGCTCCTGGAATTGTGGTTAACCCCCCCCAGAATGACCCTGCCTGTGGAGGATTCCCCCAGGAGAATTCAGGATTCAGGAATTTGGGAAGGGGAATCCGGGCACGGGAGTTTAATTAATCCAAACCCAATTAATTAATTACGGGTTCCTGGCGCTGCTGCTGCTTCCTAGGGAAAACCAAACCAGCTGCAGGTCTGGCTTTGACCCTTTTCCCAAACTTTTTGCCCCAAATTTATGATGATGAAGGTGAAAATTAATTAAAGTTTCTGCCTGTGCCGGTGTCGTTTCCTGAGGGAAAGGGCAAATCCAGGGGGAGGATTTTGGGGTAAAACCTGGGAAAATTGGGGCTGGGGAGGGGGATTACACTCATGACTGGTGTGTGGCTGGGATTTTCCCAAAAATCTCCTTTTTCTCCCCAAACATCCCCACAGAGCAGTTGGGAAGTGCTGAGGTCACCTCCCTGCTCTTTGCCCAATTCCAGCATTTCTCACCCCAAATCAAATACAATTTTTCCAACATCCATAAAATCTTATTTTCCTCCCATTTCCAGCTTTATTTCCTTTTTTTGTTTTTACAAATGGAGCAGAATCCAAATTTCCTCCCAGTTTCCCTTGGAAAAACCCCGATTTTGGTTAAAACAGCAGCGGGAAGAGCCAGAGGAGGAGGAGGAGGAGGAATTTGGGAATTTCGACTCTTCCACCCCACAGAGCCCCCACCGTTCAATCCCATCCCAAATTCAGGATTTAATTTGGGAATTCCCGAGGGTTTTGGGGCAGGGACCCGATCCCACTGGGACCTTTCCAGGTTTATTTTCGGGGGGACTCCAAGGGGGCTCCGGGAATTCCTGGGAAGGGAAGCGAGGCTGGGGTTGGGCCTGGGATCCACCGGGACCGATCCCGAATCCCAATCCCAAATCCCAGCCCAGATCCTGAATCCCAGCCCTGATCCTGATCCCGAATCCCAGCCCTGATCCCAAATCCTGACCCCAATCCTGAATCCCGATCCCAAATCCCAGCCCAGATCCTGAATCCCAGCCCTGATCCCGATCCTGAATCCTGGCCCTGATCCTGAATCCCAAATCCTGGATTCCAGCCCTGATCCCGAATCCTGATCCTGGATCCCAAATCCCAGCCCTGATCCCAAATCCTGGCCCTGATTCCCAATCCCAAATCCTGGATTCCAGCCCCGATCCCGATCCTGAATTCCAGATCCCGATCCTGGGATCAGGGGGTGACACCCCCGGGAATGAAGGACAGGACAGGACAGGACAGGACAGGACAGGACAGGACAGGACAGGACAGGACAGGAAAGGAAAGGAAAGGAAAGGAAAGGAAAGGAAAGGAAAGGAAAGGAAAGGAAAGGAAAGGAAAGGAAAGGAAAGGAAAGGAAAGGAAAGGAAAGGAAAAGAAAAAGGAAAAAGGAAAAAGGAAAGGAAAAAGGATTCTCCCCCAATCCCGGGATTCCCCTCTATCCCAGGACTCCCCCTCCATCCCGGGCTCTCGCGGGCCGAGCCTTTCGTGCCCTCCCGGCGGCGCTGTCCCATCCCGCATCCACATCCCGGATCCGCATCCCCCGGGTTTCAAGGGAAGGCAGCGATTCCTTCCTTTGATCCGGGGAAAGAGAGCGGAACCTTCCCCCAGGGCCCCCGCCCTCTCCGCGGCCCGGCTTCATTAAAACAGCGCTCAATTAAAACAGCGCTCAATTAAAACAGCGCTTCATTAAAACAGCGCTTAATTGGAGAGCCCGGCTCCGCCCGCTCCCGGCTTAGAGCAGCGGCAGAGCCCCGGAACGGCCTCGGAACGGCCCCGGAACGGCCCCGGAACGGCCCCGGAGCCCCGGAACAGCCCCGGAATCCCTGGAACGGCCCCTGGATCCTTGGAATAGCCCCGGAACGGCCCCGGAGCAGCCTCGGAATCCCTGGAGCAGCCCCGGATCCCGGCCCGGCGCTTTCCGGGCGTTTTTTCCTGCGAACAGGAGAATCCCTGGATTCCCGAACCCCCGGATTTCTGAACCCCCGGATTCCCGAACCCCCGGATTTCCCGAACCGCCGGATTTCTGAACCTCCAGATTCCCAAACCCCCGGATTTCCCGAACCGCCGGATTTCTGAATCCCCGGATTTCCGAATTCCCGGATTTCCTGAACTCAAGGATTCCCGAACCCCCGGATTTCCGAATCCCGAGCTTTCCGCGCCCCCGCATTTCCAAGGAGTGTCCGGGAGCCCGAGCGGACTCCGACCCCATCCCCGACCCGCGGCCGCTCCTGCGCCACTTCCCGGCCCGGAGGAGCCGCCGCCGCCGCCGCTGCTTTTCCTGGGATTTGGCTTTTCCTGGGATTTGGCTTTTCCTGGATTTTGGCTTTTCCTGGAATTTGGCTTTTCCCGGAATTTCGCTTTTCCTGGAATTTGGCTTTTCCCGGATTTTGGCTTTTCCTGGAGTTTGGCTTTTCCCGGAATTTGGCTTTTCCCGTGGATTTTCTGTCACCGGGAGGGGTCGGGCTGTGGCCGAGGCCGAGATTTCTTCCTTCCTTCCTCTTCCTCATCCTCCGGGCCTGTCCCGAGCCCGGGGTTTTCCGGGAAAAGGGAGGAGCCCGGCGGGTCCCTGGCATGGAAGCGGCGCCGCTGCGCTGCCCCCGGGCCGGGCTCTGCGCTGCGCTCCCCAGGTGGGTCGGGATCGGGGCGATTTTCCCGTTTTTATTCGATTTTAACCCATCCCGGCTTCTCCCGTGCTCGGAGCTCACGGACGGGTTCCCAAAATCCGCATTCCCCAAAAACCCCCAGGGCCTTCATCATCCCAAGGGCTCCTCCTCCTCCTCCTCTCTCCCGCTCCTGCAGCGCCGGGACCGCGGGGAAATTGGGGCTTTTCCGTCCCTTTTTGGGAAAATCCAAGCTCGGGAGCGATCCCGGGGCAAATCCGCTGCCCGGGGAGGAACCGGGCACCCAAAAAAGGCTGGAAAGGCCCAGGAGGGAGGAATGGGAGGAACCCGAGGAGGTTTCGGAGGCTGCGCCTCCCTCGGGCCGTTCCCATGGGAAAAGGAGATTTAAGGATTGAATTCCATCCCCGGATCCCCGCCTGGGGAAAAGGAGGACGGAATCGCAGCAGGGCGGGGAAGGGCTGCTCAGACAGCACCGAGAGTCCTGAAAATTGGCCAAAAAAACCCCAAATTTCTGTGTGGCGGGGCCCAAAATGAGCGGGAAATTGGAATTTTTATGGAAAAACGGGGGGGGGGAAGTAAAAATGTTGAGGGGCTGAAGCTCAAGGGGCTGAAAATGGGCAGAAAATTCCAGACTGAGGTAGGAATCTCCAAATCCGGGTGGAAAATGAGTGAAATTTCCAGGTCGTGAGAGGTAAATTTGTGTCAAGAGGCAAAAAGATCCCAAATTTCTCCTGAGCTGAAGCCTGAATTCCCGAAACCGGGTGGAAATTAAAGACCTGGATGTGCTGAAGCCCCAAGTGCTGAAAAGGGGACAGAATTTTCCTGCAATTTACAAAAAAGATCCCAAATTCACCAAAAATGGATGGAAAAGGAGCGGGGTTTCTTCTATTGGAGCCAGAATTGATAGAAATGGGGGAAATTCCTCAAATTTTCCTCCGTGGGAATCGAATCTGCTGATTCGGGCGATTCCAGGGGTCGGAGTCCTGGGAGCAGCTCCTGGAGCTCCTCCCACTCGGATCCCGGGGAAAACATCCCCTTTTTCCGCTTTTTTCCCGGTTTTTTCCCCTGTTTTCCCCCTGTTTTTCCCTGTTTTTTCCCCCTGTTTTTTCCCGTTTTTCCCTGGTTTTTTCCCCTGTTTTTTCCCCTGTTTTTCCCTGTTTTTTTCCCCTGTTTTTTCCCCGCTTTTTCCCTGTTTTTTCCCCTGTTTTTTCCCCTGTTTTTTCACGGTTTTTCCCCTGTTTTTTCCCTGTTTTTCCCGTTTTTTCCCTGTTTTTCCCCTGTTTTTTTCCCTTTTTTTTCCCATTTTCCTCATTCCTGACTCGTCCTTCGGGGTGTCCTGGCTTCTCCTGGGATTTCAGGGATGGAAATTCCCAGGAATGAGTTATTTCTTGGAGCTTTCCTGGTGTTTTCTTCCTTTCCCGGCCCATTTCCCCATTCCCAGCATTTCCCATTCCCAGCATTTCCCATTCCCAGCATTTCCCATTTCCCCATTCCCAGCATTTCCCCATTCCCAGCATTTCCCATTTCCCCATTCCCAGCATTTCCCCATTCCCAGCATTTCCCATTCCCAGCATTTCCCCATTCCCGGGGCTTTGTCCGAGCGGGAGCGCCCGGGGGGAGGCACCAAGGTCGGGGGGGGGCAGCAAATTTGGGGCGGGAAAAGCCCAGGAGGGGAAAATCCGGATCCCAGGGCTCCGACAGCTCCGGGATCTTCATCCCTTCATCATCATCATCACCATCATCATCCTCATCATCATCCTCAGCCCCACCTGGGAATCCACATTATTTTATAACCTGCAAATCCGCTTTATTTCCTCCAAATCCACTTCTTTCCCCTACAAACCCATTTTCCCCCCTATAATTCCATTTTTTTCCCCTCCAATTCCCCTTTTCCCGGTGCCGATCCCGATTCCCAAGGCCGATTTTCCCCGGTGCTGTCCCTGCTGCCCGCCCGGCGCCGCCGCCCCCTCCCGTCCGTCCGTCCCTCTGTCCGTCCGTCTGTCCCGCGCTAATCCCGGGATTAGCGGCCGCTCGTTCTGCACCGTCAGGATTCTCCTGCCCGGAGCCGCCGGGGCCGGGCCCTGCCCCGATCCCCGGGATCGCCCCGGGATCCTCTCCCCTATCCTGGGATCCTCTCCCTTCCCTGGATCCTCTCCCCTATCCCAGGATCCTCTCCCCATCCCGGGATCCTCTCCCCATCCTGGGATCCTTTCCCCTTCTCCCATCCCCGGGATCCTCTCCTGTCCCGGGATCCTTTCCCTTCCCTGGGATCCTCTCCCCATCCCCAATCCCTGGGATTGCCCCGGGATCCTCTCCCCTTCCCCGGGATCCTTTCCCCATTCTGGGATCCTCTCCCCTTCCCTTCCCTTCCCTTCCCTTCCCTTCCCTTCCCTTCCCTTCCCTTCCCTTCCCTTCCCTTCCCTTCCCTTCCCTTCCCTTCCCTTCCCTTCCCTTCCCTTCCCTTCCCTCCCCTCGAGGCCTCGGGAGCGGCGCCGGTGCCGGTAACGGGGACTGGGGGGGGTTGGGGGGAAAATGGGGAATAATGGGGGAGAATTCCAGGAAAACAGGGCAGAATTCCATAAAAATGGGGGATAATGGGGGAGAATGCCATGAAAACGGGGCATAAATGGGGAGAATTCCATGAAAGCGGGGGAGAAGTCCATGAGAACAGGATAATAAGGGAATATTTCCTAAAAACAGGGGATGATAAGGGAACAGTTCCTAAAAAATATGGGATAATGAGAGAGAATTCCCTAAAAATGGGGGATTATTCCCTAAAACCAGGGAATTATAAGGGAATATTCCTTAAAAATGGGGGATAATGAGAGAGTATTCCTTAAAAATGGGGGGGTTATACCCTAAAAACAGGGAATTATAAGGGAATATTTCCTAAAAATAGGATAATAAGGGAATATTCCCTAAAAGTAGGGAATTTTGAGGTAATATTCCCCTAAAATCAGGGAATTTTGCAGGAATATTCCCCCAAAAGCAGGGAATTTTGAAGGAATATTCCCCTAAAATGAGGGAATTTTGCAGGAATATCCCCAAAGGCAGTGAACAGGCAGGGTCAGGGCAGGTTTGCAGCCGTGAAGGAGAAATGGGATTTTCCATCCCTCGGGCGCTGCTGCTGCTGCTGCTGTTGTTGTGTTTTTAGGGCCAAACCCGTCCCTAAATCCCTCACGCAGCGTCCCCAAATCCCCGGCGCTGCTCTGTCCCCGCCGCCGGCGCCGCGGTTACAAAGCCCGGGCTGGCTGGAATTTTTCTGCCCTGAGAATTCGAGCAAAGGGCGAAAACCTCCAGAACTCCCCACTGCTGATTTAGCAGGGAACGTTCTGGCGGCCCCAAACCCTTTCCATCCCTTTTTCCCCTCCCAGCGAGGCGAGTCCCAAGGCTGGACGCGTTCATGGCACCAAAAAATTCCCTTTTTTGCCTCTCAGAGCTGGAAAATCCTGCCCAGATTCAGCTGAACTCAAGAGTTCACGCCTGAAACAGGGGAAACCCCAACTTCCTTCCCCTTCTGGCCCCAAATCTCCGAAATTTCTGGTTTTTTACTCCAGCTGGGCTGGGTGGGGCCGAGGACAGAGCAGGGTGAGAAAACCCCAAATCCCTTTAGGGTTCAAAACGCCTCTTCCCAGCGCTCTGCTCTCCTGACCGCCAGCTCCTCCCGAAAATCCCAAACCCTGCATTTCCCGGCATTCCTGGATCCCATTCCCCGCTCTCCGGGGTCGGTACCGCAGCAGGGCGGGCCTGGGGTGCATTTCTGAGCACCGAGGGCCCGGAGCTGAGCCCTTCTCCTCTCGCAGGCTGCCCTGAGCGCCATGGCCACCAAGGTGCCCATCTACCTGAAGCGGGGCAGCCGCAAGGGCAGGAAGGAGAAGCTGCGGGACATCCTCTCCTCGGACATGATCAGCCCGCCCCTGGGCGACTTCCGCCACACCATCCACGTGGGCAGCGGCGGCCAGGCCGACACCTTCGGGGACGTCTCCTTCCTGCAGGGCAAGTTCCACCTGCTGCCCCGCGGCGCCGCTGACCGCGACAAGGAGGGGACGGCGCCGTTTGAGTTCTCGCGCACGGCCACCATGTCGGGCACCGTGTCGGGCACCGTGTCGGGCACCGCGTCGGGCACCGTGTCGGGCGCCGAGGCCGCGCCGTCGCCGCTGCTCAAGAACGCGATCTCGCTGCCGGCGCTCGGCGCTGCCCAGGCCCTGACCCTGCCCGCGGCGCAGGCGCCGCCGAAGCCTCCGCGGCTGCACCTGGACGAGGCCACGGCGCCGTCACCGTCATCGCCATCACCATCATCACCATCGTCACCATCACCATCGCCGTGTCCCCGTGCGGCCGCCAACGGCGAGGCCGAGCCCTTCCTGTCCCACGCCGGCTCCCTGCTGTCCCTGCACGTGGACCTGGGCCCCTCCATCCTGGAGGACGTGCTGCAGGTCATGGACCGGCACCAGGCCGAGCGCGGCGCCGCCGCCCGGCCCGAGATCCCAACGTGATCCACGGGGAACGGACGGTGAGGATGAGCATGGGCACGGAGGAGGATTTGGGGTGGTTTAGGGATGTGGATCTCAGATTCCAGCTTGGGTGAAGGCGTTGGGAAATGGACAGTGAGGATGAGGATGGGCACGGAGGAGGATTTGGGGTGGTTTGGGATGTGGATCTGAGATTCCAGCTTGGGAAACGGACGGTGAGGATGAGCATGGAGGAGGATTTGGGGTGGTTTTGGATTCGGATCTGAGATTCCAGCTTGGGAAATGGACGGTGAGGATGAGGATGGGCACGGAGGAGGATTTGGGGTGGTTTAGGACTCAGATCTCAGATTCCAGCTTGGGTGAAGGCAGCACCATTGGGAAATGGACGGTGAGGATGAGGATGAGGATGGAGGAGGATTTTGGGTGTTTTTTGGAGGACTTGGGGTGTTTTTTGAGGATGAGGGTGGAGGATTTTGGGTGTTTTCGGATGTGGATCTCAGATTCCAGCTTGGGTGAAGGTGGCACCATTGGGAAATGGATGGTGAGGATGAGGATGGGCATGGAGGACGATTTTGGGTGGTTTCGGATGTGGATCTCAGATTCCAGCTTGGGTGAAGGCGTTGGGAAATGGACGGTGAGGATGAGGATGAGGATGGAGGATTTTGGGCTGTTTTTGGATATGGATCTCAGATTCCAGCTTGGGAAATGGATGATGAGGATGAGGATGAGGATGGAGGATTTTGGGCTGTTTTCGGACGTGGATCTCAGATTCCAGCTCGGGTTCTCACCTCTCCTCGCTCCAGGTGAGGGCTCAGCCTCGGGGGAGAAGCAGAGGGGCCCCACGAGCTCCCCTCAGTGGCCTCCTCCCGACCATGGGAAACGCGACCCCGCGCCCGTCGGACCCAAAGGCACCCCCAGATTTTGGGGTGAATTCCCAAAGATTCCGGCCAGGAGGATTCGATTCCATCGGACCCAAAGGCACCCCCAGATTTTGGGATGAATTCCCAAAGATTCCGGCCAGGAGGATTCGATTCCATCGGACCCAAAGGCACCCCCCAAACTTTTGGGGTGAATTCCCAAAGATTCCGGCCAGGAGGATTCGATTCCATCGGACCCAAAGTCACCCCCCAAACTTTTGGGGTGAATTCCCAAAGATTCCGGCCAGGAGGACGCGGGGGGACACCGGGGTTTGTTCTCCACGGCTCTGAACCTCCTGAACTCTCTGAACCCCAAATTCTGCTCCGTGGAATCCTCTGGAAACCCCACGGATGGGGAAATCTCCACCCTGTGGAGAAGCCAAAACTCCGCGTGGAGGAGCTGGGATATCCCAAGGGGACCCTTGATTTAGGAACTCAATCCATGGAGGGGCCAGAAACCCCTCTGGGGTGCCCTGGAGCGACCGGGAATCATCGAGGAGACGCGGAACCACCCAAAAACCCCAGCGTGAGCTGCGGGAGGATCCCGGGGTCGAGGGGTCCCACGCGGATTGTGCGGGCGGAGCGGGAGCTGAGGGGCAGTGCTGGGGGCAATCCCAGCTGGATTTTGGGGAATGGGGACCAAAACCCCGCTGGAAACGCTGCGGGTGCCCCAGCGGGGCCTCCTTGCCCAGGCTCCGGTCGCAGATTCCGCCCTTTCACTGATTTCCAGCGGTTTGAGCCCAAAATGAGGCCGGGATCCCCCCAGGGCGGAGCCGCAGCCCCTCCTGCCCCCACTGCTGGTGCTGTTCCTCATTGCCTGACGAGTCTAATTTAGATTATCTGACTAATGACTCATTAGATTCTCGTTAACCAACCCTTGTCCCGCCTCTTCCTTCCCCTCCCGCTCCGCGCCGCTAAACCCCAACCACTTTTGGTGCAAACACCCAGAATTTGGGGATGAACCCGTTCCCCAAGGCTCTCACCTGTCAGATGAGCAGCAGACTGAGGTTAATTAAGCTCAATCAAGGTTTAATTGCTATTTAGTCCAACTCTTCCCTCTCTGAACCCTTCTCTCCCCCCACCCTCTGTCCACGTTTTATTTATTTTGGGGATTTTTCCTCCCCAAACCAATTCCAGCTGTTTCAGAGCCTCCTCGTTTGTGATTAATTAAGCCCAGGGATGTTTGTGATTAATTAGGCCCAGAGATTGGGATGGGAACGTGGCTCTGTGTCCCCTCCTGTCCCACAAACAGCCCAGAACAGCTCATTTTGGGCGGGTTTCACCACATTTTGGGTGTTTTGGGGGCTTTCCAACCCGGGCTGGGTTGGGACAACGTGCGTGGACTTTTTTTCCTGGATTTCACCCCAGTTTTCCTGGGTTCCACCTTAATCAGTGATTTAAAGATGGAGCTGTTTGTGCCCCACCTCAGCCCAAGAATTGCGAAACCGTCGCTGCCGGAGCTGTTTCAAAATAACCAAAATCAGCCAAAATCCCTTTTTTTTCCCTGTTTTGTCCCTTTTCTCGCCCGGTTTTTTCCCTTTCACAACTCAGGGCTGAATTTTGGGGTGTTCCAGCTTTAATTGGGGACCTTGTTCACTCGTTTTTGTTCTCCCCCTACTCACCCCCCTGTGCTCCAGTCCTGGAAAAGCTCCTTTAATTTGCCAAATTTAGGGTTTGTTTTTTAACCATGAAAAGGTGATTTTGCTTTTCTCACCCCTCTCCTCCTTCCTCTCTTCCCTATTATAAACCCCTCAAATTATCCCCAAAATTATTGCTATTATCCCTGAAATTATCCCAAATATCACTTCATCCCTGAAACTTTTTTTTCCCCCACTCACATCTCCTGCAAAAAAAACCCCAAATCCCTTAATTAATTTTCAATTAACGAATAAATCATTTGGGATCCCTTTCCACAGGACTGGAGCCTCCTTCACTTCTCCCCTAATTAGCCCTTCCCCAGATTAATGATTTATTCAAAGCGCTGTTGCCAAACTTGCTGATTTACTCCCAGTTCCAAGGATCTGAGTCATCCGGAGCAGCCGTGACTCAGCGCCCGCTCCCCCTCCCTTTTTGGGGAGTTTATTGCGGAATCAATCAAGGCAGGAATCGTTAATTAATTAACCCCAGCAGGGGCACAGGCCTCCCTCCCAACTTCCTCATTTATCCCGGGATTTCCGGGCAGGGGATTAACGCCGCCCACGCCCGCGTCAGACAGGATTACCAGGAGGAGGAGGAGGAGGAGGAGGAGGGAGGAAGGTTTGACCAGGTGGGGGTGACCTTGGGGGAAAAAAGGCAAATTCTCAACAAACAGGGAAAATAACACAGGTGGGATGTGGAAGTAAGGAGGAAAAAGAGAGAGGAATTCACGTGGAAGTGAGGAACTCACCTGGAAATGAAGAATTCACCTGGAAATGAGGAACTCACCTGGAAATGAGGAACTCACCTGGAAGTTGACATCAAAGCACACCTGCCATGGGGTCTGTGGGTGACCTCTGTCCTGGGGGATGAATTTGGGGCTACTTGGTTAATTCAGGTTTGATAAAAAGGGAAAAGAGCTCAAAAACGGGAAATTTCGGCAGGAGTTTTTGGGGATAAAGAGACATAAGGAATCTGGGGAGATTGGGGACCTGAGGGATCCATCCTCACTTATCCCTAATTTCACCCTCTTGTGGCCCTCATTTATTCCTCATTTCATTTCCCCACTCCCAATTTATCCCTCATTTCCCTCCCAACTCTCACCCCTTTTTTCATTTTATCCCCCAAACCTCCTCCTTCCCATTTCCCTTTTCATTCTCCATCTTCTCACCCCTTTCCATGGAAAGGTTGAGGTTGAAAAAGACCTTTGGGATGATGGAATCCAACCTGGTCACCCCTGAACGGTGTCCCCATGTGCCACATCCAGGCTCTTTTTGGGATAATTCCAGGACAGCAATTCCACAACCTCTCAGGGTGGGACAACCCTTTCCAGGGATTTTCCTCAATAAATCTTCCCTGATCCAACTCAAGGCTGTTCCCTCTTGTTTTATCCATGGAGAGAAGGAATCTCACCCCCGGCCTCATTCCAGGGAATTGGGGTCTCTCAATCCTCCTTTTTCCAGGATAAACCCCGTCATCCTCTGCCATCATTTCTCCTCACTTTCTGTCCATTTCTCCCTCACTCTCCCGCCTTGTTCTCTCCCAATTTTTCCCTCATTCTCCCCCCCATCTTGTCGCTCATTCGCCCTCATTTTCGCCCTCACTCTGCCCCCTCCATTTCCCCCCTCAATCTCGCCCCTCTATCTCCCCCTTATTCTCCCCCCGTACCCCTCTCTCTGCCTCCCTCTTTCATCCCCATGCCCTCCCTTTCTCCCCGTACCTTCTTCCATCCCTTTCTCTCGGATTTTCTCCTTTTCCGTGCGTTTTTCCCCTCAGATCCTTTTCCCGCCATTTTTCCCCTCAGACTTTCGCCCCCCCACTCCCCCTTTTCCCGCCTTTTTTCCGCCCCCGCGCACGCGCGCTGCGCACAGCGCCGCCCAGCGGCCGGGAGGACTCCCCGCTCCCTTCCCCCGGCCCTCCCTCTCCCTCCGCCTCTCCTTTCTCCACCCTTCCCGCTTCCCGCTCCTCCTCCTCCTCCCTCCATCCCTCTCCCTCTCCCTCTCCCTCCTCCTCCGCCTCCTCCTCCTCCTCCCTCTCCCCGCCCCTCCCGCCCCTCCCTCCGCGCACGCGCCCCGCGGCGCCCCAGCGGCGGAGCCAAGATGGCGGCGGTGGTTCAGAATGTGGTCAAGCTGTGAGTGCGGGTCTCCCCCCCCCCCTTTCCCTGTCTCCCCCTGCGGCGCGGTAATGGTGCGGCCCGGCCGGGCGCGGGATGCAGGGCCCCCCCTTCGGCCCCGCGCGCCGGACGGGACCAAGTGGGCGGAGAGGGGGGAAGGGGGGAAGCGACACGCGCGCATTGTTCGCGGTGAACTTTGCTGAGGGGGGCGTTAAGGACACCCCAAAATCCTCCCCAGCACCGGGAGGGCCGCAGAGACTTGAGGGGGGAGAGTCTGGGAGAGTCCGGGGGGGTCCCCCAGGTCTGGCCCTGAGAGGGTCCCGGAGAGGGCAAAGCCGGGGGGTTCATCCCTTTAAAATTCCCTGTAAAATTCCCTGTATTGTATCCCTGTGCTTCCTCGTGGATTCCTAAACTCCGTGTGCGAGCGTCCTGTAGAGGCCAAGGACGGGGGAGTCATCCCAACACATCGCTGTGCATCCCTGGAGATTGCCTGGGCATCCTTGAATATCCCCGAATATCTCTAAATATCCCTAAATATCCCTGTACATTCCCTGTTCATTCCTGCACTACTTCCCCAGCCAGAGGGTCCTGTGGAGGCCAAGCTGGGGGGAAATCTTCCCTCTACTTCCTTCTAAATCCTCATATTTCCCTCAAAATCCCTGGATCTCCCTCGAAATCCCCGCATTTCCCTGTATATTCCTGTACTTCCTTCTAATTCCCTGTATTTCTCTTTAAATCCCTGTATTTCCCTGTGTATTGCTGTATTTCCCTCTAAATCTCTGTATTTCCTGTAAATCCCTGTATTTTCCTGTCTGTCTCCATCTCTTCCCTTCCTGCCCTTCTCTTCCCACCCCTATGAGTGGCCTGGAGAAGCGAAGGAATGGGGAGTTGGGCACTTTATCCCTGATATTCTCCAGGATTTTATTCCTCAGGGTTTCCAGGTTCATCCCTCAGGGTTTCCAGGTTCATCCCTCAGGGTTTCCAGGTTCATCCCTCAGGGTTTCCAGGTTTATCCCTGGGGGTTTCCAGGCTTTTATCCCTGACCGTTTCCAGGTTTATCCCTGAAGGTTTCCAGGTTCATCCCTGAGGGTTTCCAGGTTTATCCCTGAGAGTTTCCAGGTTCATCCCTCAGAGTTTCCAGGTTTATCCCTCAGAGTTTCCAGGTTTATCCCTGAGGGTTTCCAGGTTCATCCCGGAAGGTTTCCAGGTTTATCCCTGAGAGTTTCCAGGTTTATCCCTGAGGGTTTCCAGGTTTATCCCTGAGAGTTTCCAGGTTCATCCCTCAGAGTTTCCAGGTTTATCCCTGAGGGTTTCCAGGTTTATCCCCGAGGGTTTCCACGTTCATCCCTGAGGGTTTCCAGGTTTATCCCTGAGTGTTTCCACGTTCATCCCTGAGGGTTTCCAGGTTTATCCCTGGGGGTTTCCAGTTCATCCCTGAGAGTTTCCAGGATTTTATCCCTCAGGGTTTCCAGGTTCATCCCTGAGTGTTTCCATGTTTATCCCTGAGTGTTTGCAGGTTTATCCCTGATATCCTCCAGGATTGTATCCCTGACATTCTCCTGGTATCCCGGAGAGGTTCCCCATTACCCCGTTCCCATTCCCAGTGTCATTCCCTGTGCCATTCCCTGTACCAATCCCTGCCATTCCCAGCATTGATCCCTGCCATTCCCTGTGCCAATCCTGGTGCCAATCCCAGTGCCATTCCCATGCCATTCCCATTCCATTCTAGGCTGGGCGAGCAGTACTACCGGGACGCCATGGAGCAGTGCCACAGCTACAACGCGCGGCTCTGCGCCGAGCGCAGCGTGCGCCTGCCCTTCCTGGACTCGCAGACCGGCGTGGCCCAGAGCAACTGCTACATCTGGATGGAGAAACGGCACCGCGGGCCCGGTACGGCACCGGGAAAATGGCTGGGAATGGGAGCGGGAAAATGGCTGGGAATGGGAGCGGGAAAATGGCTGGGAATGGGAGCGGGAAAGTGGCTGGGAATGGGACCGGGAAGGGCGGGAATGGCACTGGAAGAATGCTGGGAATGGTGGGGAAGTGATGGGAGAATGGTGGGAAACTGTGGGGAAACACCGGGAGAACAATGGGGAAATGATGGGGAAACAACAGGGAAATGGTGGGAAATGATGGGAAAACACTGGGAGAACAATGGGGAAACAACAGGGAAATTATGGAAAACAATGGGGAAATTATGGGACACAGCAGGGAAATTATGGCAGAATGGTGGGAAACGATGGGGAAAGACTGGGAGAACAATGGGGAAACAACAGGGAAATTATGGGGAACAGTGGGGAAATGATGGGGAAAACAATGGGGAAATGATGGGAAAGAGTTGGAAAACAGCAGGGAAATCATGGGAGAATGATGGGAAACAATGGGGAAATGATGAGAGAATGGCGGGAAACAATGAGGAAACACTGAGACAGCAATGGGGAAACAACAGGGAAATGATGGGGAAACAACAGGGAAATGATGGGGAACAATGGGAAAGTGATGGGAGAATAATGAGGAAACACCAGGAGAATAAGAGGAAAACACTTGGAAAACACCAGGGAAATGGCAGGAGGCAGAAAACAATGGGAAAAAAGGGGAAAACACTGGGAAAACAGCAGGAAAACAGCAGGAAAACGATGGGGAAATGGCGGGGAAAGAGGGAAAACAGCAGGAAAGCAATGGGGAAATGACAGGAAAACAGCAGGGAGGGGAAGGGGACGGGGTCCCTTTGGGCCGTTCTGCCACATCCCTGGGAGAGTCTGGGGGCTTCAATCAGAACCTGGGACCATTGCCAGGAGTTTTATCGGAACCTGGGACCATTGCCAGGGGTTCTGTCCCTCCCTGGCCGGATTTTGGGCCATTTCTGGGCTTTCTCTGCAGGTTTGGCAGCCGGGCAGCTCTACTCGTACCCCGCGCGGCGCTGGCGCAAGAAACGCCGCGCCCACCCCCCCGGAGGACCCCCGGCTCTCCTTCCCCTCCATCAAACCCGGTACTGCTCCCACTCCTGCTGCATTCCTGGGAATTCCACTGCCTCTGCCAGCATCCCCCACCCAGAGCCTCCTTTTTCCTGGTTTTTCACCATTTTCCCCCATTTTTCTCTGGGTTTTTCCCCATTTTCCACCATTTTTTTCCCCATTTTCTCCCATTGTTTTCCCCTGGATTTTTTCTGCATTTTTGTCTAGTTTTTTTTCCATTTTTCCTGTTGTTTTTCCCCATCCCAGATGTGGAGCAGGCTCTGAAGAAGGAGGGGCTGCTCTCCCATTTCCCCCATTTATCCCCATTTCCCCCCATTGTTTTCCCCCATTTTCCCCGCAGATTTTTCTCCATTTTCCCCCGGATTTTTCCCCATTTCCCCCCATTGTTTTCCGCCATTTCCCCCCATTGTTTTTTCCCCATTTTTCTCTGTTCTTTCCCCATTTTTCCTGTTGTTTTCCCCCATCCCTAGATGTGGAGCAGGCCCTGAAGAAGGAGGGGCTGCTCTCCCATTTATCCCCATTGCTTTCCCTCATTTCCCCCCATTGTTTTTGCCCATTTTCCTCCGGATTTTTCCCCATTTTTCCTGTTGTTTTTCCCCCCTCCCCAGACTCGGAGCAGGCCCTGAAGAAGGAGGGGCTGCTCTCCCATTTTCCCCCATTGTTTTACCCCATTTTTCTCTGGTTTTACCCCATTTTTCTCAGTTCTTTCCCTGTTTTCCCCCCTGTCCAGATGCGGAGCAGGCCCTGAAGAAGGAGGGGCTGCTCTCCCATTTCCCCCATTTATCCCCATTTTCCCCCGGATTTTCCCCCATTTCCCTCCATTGTTTTCCCCCATTTCCCCCCATTGCTTTTACCCCCATTTTTCTCTGTTTTTACCCCATTTTTCTCAGTTCTTTCCCCGTTTTTCCCCTGTCCAGACGCAGAGCAGGCCCTGAAGAAGGAGGGGCTGCTCTCCCATTTCCCCCCATGGTTTTACCCCATTTTTCTCTGTTTTTACCCCATTTTTCTCAGTTCTTTCCCCGTTTTTCCCCTGTCCAGACGCAGAGCAGGCCCTGAAGAAGGAGGGGCTGCTCTCCCATTTCCCCCCAATGTTTTTTACCCCATTTTTCTCTGTTCTTGCCCCATTTTTCCTGTTGTTTTCCCCCATCCCAGACGCAGAGCAGGCCCTGAAGAAGGAGGGGCTGCTGGGGCAGGACGGGAGCAGCCTGGAGGCGCTGCTCAGGACGGATCCCCTGGAGAAGCGCGCCCTGCCCGACCCGCGCATGGACGACGACAGCCTGGGCGAGTTCCCGGTCACCAACAGCCGCGCGCGGAAGGTGCCGGGGATTCCGAACGGGAATTCCAGCGGGATAACGGGGATTCTGAACGGGATAATGGGGATAAAGGGGATTCCAAATGGAATTGGGGATAACGGGAATGCCAAACAGGAATTCCAGCGGGATAACGGGAATGCCAAATGGGAATTGGGGATAATGGGAATGCCAAATGGAATTGGGGATAACGGGAATGCCAAACGGGATAACGGGAATGCCAAATGGGATAATGGGGATAACGGGAATGCCAAACGGGAATTGGGGATAACGGGGATTCCAAATGGAATTGGGGATAACGGGGATTCCAAATGGGAATTCCAGCCGGATAACGGGAATGCCAAACGGGATAATGGGGATAACGGGGATTCCAAATGGGATAACGGGAATGCCAAACGGGGATTGGGGATAACGGGAATGCCAAATGGGAATTCCAGCGGGATAGCGGGAATGCCAAATGGAATTGGGGATAACGGGGATTCCGAACGGGAATTGGGGATAACAGGGATTTCCCCATTTTTCCCCATTTTCCCCATTTCCCCGCTAACCCCCCTGTCCGTTCCCATTTTTCCCCATTTCCCCCATTTTTTTCCCCCATTTTTCCCCCATTTTCCCCCATTATTTCCCCCATTTTTCCCCGCTAACCCCCGTGTCCGTGGTTCCCAGCGGATCCTGGAGCCGGACGATTTCCTGGACGATTTGGACGATGAGGATTACGAGGAGGACACGCCCAAGCGGAGGGGGAAGGGCAAGGCCAAGGTGAGGGATCCCCAAAATTCCGGGCACTTCCTGTGAGCAGCCCCTTCCCCACCGCCAGCACAACCCCGGCATTTCCACCCTGGATTTGCCCAAATTCCCGGGATTTTTGGCCCTTTCCGCGCCGTTCCCACCGCGGGGCGCTGTTGCCTCGCTCCCGTGCCGGGTTTTGCCCAAATTCCGTTTTTTTTCCAGGGAAAAGGCGTCGGGGGGGCTCGGAAGAAGCTGGACGCTGCCATCCTGGAGGACAGGGACAAGCCCTACGCCTGTGACAGTGAGTGCTGGGCCCGGGTGGGCCCGGGGGGTCCCGCCAGGCTGAGACCCCCGCCCGCTCCCAGGGAGGGCAGGGCCGGCCCCGCCTCCCTCCCCATGGAGTTTTCCTGCTGGGAATACTGGGGAGAGCAGCAGGACACAAACACCAGGATAAAAACCCCATAAAAACCAGGTTAAAAATGAGAACAAACAGCCCCCAACAGCCCCAAAAGGCCGGGAAGGTCCCTCCCTCTCATCCCAGTCAGATCCCAGCCCCTGGGAGCCGTTCCCAGCCCTCCCTTAAGGATCTGGGAATCCCAACAAAGCCCTCGGAGCGGGGGCTCCGGCCCTTCCTGCCCCATCCACGAATCCGGGGGACCACGGGATGGGCAGTGCCAGGGAAGCTTTGCCAGCTCCTTTTTCTCTCTTCTTCCTCCTGTCCTGCCACTTCCCAGCACTAATTCTCCCCCTGGCTCCCTGAGGTTGTGCTTTTCCTGCCCTTTTCTCCCGGTTTTCCGTGTGCGTGTGTGTCCGTGTGTCCGTGTGTGTGTCCGTGTGTCCTCTCACGACTTCTCTTTCTGTGTTTCAGACAGTTACAAACAAAAGCATTCCTTGAAACCTCCCGACCGAGGTAGTTCCGCTCTCTCTCTGCTCGTTTTTCCTGCTTTTCCTCCTTTTTTTTCCCCCCCCCTTTTTTTTTCCCACCTCCCAAAAAAGGATAAAAAAAAAAAAAAAGGCCCAAATTCCCCTGTGGAGCCGCGGGGTGGGCGGGAGGAGGAGGAGGAGGAGGGAGAGGCCAAAGGCCACGGCAGCGACGTCAGCGCCGGCCCCGCTCGGGCCCCCCTGACCCTTTTCCAGCAGGGAACGGGGCCGGGAAAACAAAGATTAAATGGACCCCCCTTGGAGCCAGCGATGGGAAAAACGCGGAGCTGGCGCCCCAGTCCTGGAGTTTGGACCCAAATCCCGGAGTTTGGACCAAAATCCTGGAGTTTGCACCCAAATCCCAGAGCTTGGACCCAAATTCTGGAGTTTGCGCCCCAATCCCGGAGTTTGCACCCAAATCCCAGAGTTTGGACCAAAATCCTGGAGTTTGCGCCCCAATCCTGGAGTTTGCACCCCAAATCCTGGAGTTTGCACCCCAAATCCTGGAGTTTGCACCCCAAATCCTGGAGTTTGCACCCCAATCCCGGAGCTGGTGCCCCAATCCCGGAGCTTGTGCCCAAATCCTGGAGTTTGGACCCAAATCCCAGAGTTTGGACCCAAATCCCGGAGTTTCCACCCCAATCCCGGAGTTTGCGCCCAAATCCCGGAGTTTGCGCCCCAAATTCTGCAGTTTCCACCCCAAATCCCGGAGTTTCCACCCAAATCTCAGAGTTTCCACCCCAAATCCCAGAGTTTGGACCCAAATTCCAGAGGTTCCCCCCTAAATCCCAGAGCTTCCACCCCAAATTCTGCAGTTTCCACCTCAGTCCTGGAGTTTGCACCCCAATCCCGGAGTTTGCACCCAAATCCCAGCTTGCACCCAAATCCCAGAGTTTGGACCCAAATCCCGGAGTTTGGACCCAAATCCCGGAGTTTCCACCCCAATCCCGGAGTTTGCGCCCAAATCCTGGAGTTTGCGCCCCAAATTCTGCAGTTTCCACCCCAAATCCCAGAGTTTGGACCCAAATCCCAATTCCTCTGGCTCGTCCTCCCCACGCCCAAACGGGGCTGGAAGGGGATTTTGGGGTGTCCTTGGATGAGGAAAAACCCAAAAATTCCCTGGAAAGGCAGCGCTGGGGAAGTGGAGCCCATTCCCTGATCCACGAGGAGCCGGGTGGAGGCAGAAACCTCCCAGATTCCGGGGTGGGAAATGGGAAAACCGATGGATTCCGATGGATTCTGGGGCTCTGAGGAGCTGGGATGGATCCGTGGCTGCTGCCAGATCCCTCCGTGGAACCCCGGAATTCCCAAATTTCCCCTTCCCTGGGTTTTTAACCTCGGGATGGGATTTTTTGGGGTGGGGAATCGGGAATTCCTTTGGGATCCCGGGGAGTTTACCTGGAATTCCCAATACCTGGGATTCCCAATACCTGGGATTCCTTTGGAATCTTGCATCGTTACCTGGAATTCTTTTGGGATCTGGGGTCATTCCTTGAAATTCCTCAGCAGTTCCGTGCAGTTTTCCCCCAATTCCGTGCACTTTTTTTACCCAATCCCATGCAGTTTTCCCCAATTCTGTGCAGTTTTTCCTGGATTCCGTTCAGTTTTCCCCCGATTCCGTGCAGTTTTCCCCCAATTCCGTGCAGTTTTTTTACCCAATCCCATGCAGTTTTTCACCCAATTCCATGCAGTTTTACCCAATCCCATGCAGTTTTCACCCAATTCCGTGCAGTTTTTCCCAATTCCATGCAGTTTTTCCCCAATCCCGTGCAGATTTCCCCCAATTCCCTGCAGTTTTCCCCAATTCCGTTCAGTTTTCCCCAATCCCATGCAGTTTTTCACCCAATCCCATGCAGTTTTTCCCAATCCCATGCAGTTTTTCCCAATTCCATGCAGTTTTTTCCCCAATTCCCTGCAGTTTTCCCCAATCCCATGCAGATTTTTCCCAATCCCATGCAGATTTCCCCCAATCCCCTGCAGTTTTCCCCATTCCAGCCTCTCTGCTCTCCCAGCCCCGGCGCTGGCATCGGCCCCGCTGGGTTCAGGCTTTGGGTTTTCCATTCCCTGCCCGCCCCTGACTGGGATTTCCCGGGGTTTTCCCGGCTTTCCGGGATTTTCCCCGATTTCCCCGCAGTCTGCGGGAAGCGCTACAAGAACCGCCCGGGGCTCAGCTACCACTACGCGCACTCGCACCTGGCCGAGGAGGAGGGCGACGACAAGGACGACTCGCAGCCGCCCACGCCCGTCTCCCAGCGCTCCGAGGAGCAGAAATGTGAGGGGAAAAACCCCAAATTCCACCGGGATTGAGCGGCAGCCGCGCCCAGGAGCCGGGAGCGGCGCCGGGGGGATTCTGTGATCCTGATCCTGGGTCCTGATCCTGGATCCTTGATCCTGATCCTGATCCTGGATCCCTGAGCCTGATCCTGGATCCTTGATACTGATCCTGGATCCCTCATCCCTGATCCCTCATCCCGGATCCCTGATCCTGATCCTGGTCCTGGATCCTCATCCCTGATCCTGGTCCTGATCCTGATCCTGGATCCCCGATCCTGATCCTGAATCCCTGATCCTGATCCTGGGTCCCTGATCCTGATCCTGGATCCCTGATCCTGGTCCTGGATCCCTGATCCTGATCCTGGATCCCTGATCCTGATCCTGATCCTGATCCTGGATCCTGATCCTGATCCTGATCCTTCATCCCTGATCCTTCATCCCTGATCCTGATCCTGGATCCTTGATTCTTGATCCCTGATTCTTCATCCCTAATCCCTGTCCCTCATTCCTCATCCCTGATCCCTGTCCCTGATCCCTGTTCCCAATCCCTCATCCCAATCCCAACCCCAATCCCCGCTCCTGTCCCCTCTGCAGCCAAGAAGGGCCCCGATGGGTTGGCCCTTCCCAACAATTACTGCGACTTCTGCCTGGGGGACTCCAAGATCAACAAGAAGACGGGACAGCCCGAGGAGCTCGTGTCCTGCTCCGACTGCGGCCGCTCCGGTCAGCACGGGACAGGGGGCGTTTGGGGACGGGGATCCCAGGGTTTCCTTTGGGATGGGGACAGGGAGCGTCTGGGGACGGGGATCCCAGGGTTTCCATGTGGGATGGGGCCAGAGGGGGCGTCTGGGGACGGGGATCTGAGGGTTTCCTTTGGGATGGGGACAGGGGGTGTCTGGGGATGGGGATCCGAGGGTTTCCCTTTGGGATGGGGCTGGAGGGGGCGTCTGGGATCAGGGATCCGAGGGTTTCCTTTGGGATGGGGCCGGAGGGGGCGTCTGGGGACGGGGATCCCAGGGTTTCCCTTTGGGATGGGGACAGGGGGCGTCTGGGGACGGGGATCCGAGGGTTTCCCTTTGGGATGGGGCTGGAGGGGGCGTTTGGGGTCGGGGATCTGAGGGTTTCCTTTGGGATGGGGCTGGGGACACATTTGGGATTGAGGATCCGAGGGTTTCCCTTTGGGATGGGGCTGAGGACACATTTGGGATTGAGGGTCCGAGGATTTCCTTTTGGATTTGGGCTGGGGTTGGGGAGGATTTTTGGATCTTTGGGATCAGGGATCCGAGGATTTCCTTTTGGATTTAGGCTGGGGTTGGGGAGGATTTTTGGATCTTTGGGATCCTGGATCCGAGGATTTCCCTCTCCTGGATGAGCTCAAATTGGGCTGGAGAGGGGCAGGAACTGGGGAATGGTTGGGTTGGGTCCCTGCCATGTCCCCCTGATGTCCCCAATGTCCCCAATGTTCCCGATACCGCTGATGTGTCCTCACTGTCCCCAATATCCCTGATGTCCCTGATGTCCCCAGTGTTCGTGATGTGTCCCCAATGTCCCTGATGTCCTCAATGTCCCTGCTGTGTCCCCGCTGTCCCCAGGGCACCCGTTGTGCCTGCTGTCCCCAATGTCCCCAATGTGTCCCCAATGTCCCCCCGATGTCCTCGATGTCCCTGATGTCCCTGATGTGTCCCTGATGTCCCCGATGTCCCCAGTGCCTTGGATGTCCCCAGTGTCCCTGATGTCCCCAATCCCTCTGGAAGTCCCCAATGTCCCCAATGTGTCCCTGATGTCCCCAATGTGTCCCCAATGTCCCCGCTGTCCCCAGGGCACCCGTCGTGCCTGCAGTTCACGCCGGTGATGATGGCGGCGGTGAAGACGTACCGCTGGCAGTGCATCGAGTGCAAGTGCTGCAACATCTGCGGCACCTCCGAGAACGACGTGAGTGCCAGAACCGCCTGGAACGGCCCAAAAACCACCTGGGAATGGCCAAAAAATCACCTGGGAATGGCCCAAAAACCGCCCAGGAACGGCCCAAAAACCACCCAGGAACAGCCCAAAAACCACCCGGGAATGCCAAAAACCACCTGGGAATGGCCCAAAAACCGCCCGGGAATGGCCCAAAAACCACCAAGGAACAGCCCCACACCATCGGGGGCACCCAGGAATGGCCCAAAAACCACCTGGGAATGCCAAAAACCACCCGGGAATGCCCAAAACCACCTGGGAATGCCAAAAATCACCTCCAAGGGCCCCAAGCACCTGGGAGTGCCCAAAAATCACCCAGGAATGGCCCAAAACCATCTGAGGCACCTGGGAATGCCCAAAAACCACCTGGGAATGCCAAAAACCACCTGGGAATGTCCAAAAATCACCTCCAAGGGCCCCAAGCACCTGGGAGAGCAAAAAAATCACCTGGGAATGCCCCAAAACCACCTGGGAATGCCAAAAACCACCTGGGAATGCCCAAAAACCACCTGGGAATGGCCAGAGTTACCTGGGAGTGCCCCAAAATCCACCTGGAACCTGGAGTGCCCCAAAACCACCCGGGATTGCCCCAAAATTCCCACTGGGGGCTCTTCTGTGGGGGAAATCCTGGGGGTTTCGGAGTCCATGTGACCCAGGAGAGGCTTTTTGGGGGGAAAAAACTGGATTTGGATGATGTGCAGGATCCCAGAGCCATTCTGGGAGAAAATCCTGGGGTTTTTAATCATCCCCAGAAATCTTCCTGCAGGGAATTTGTGCCTTTCCAGAACCTTCTGGACACGGGGGAGGACGGGGAAATCCTTGAGGGAGGCATGGGAGAGGCTTTTTTGGGGTGGGAAATGGGAATTTGGGATGATGGGGATGTGCCCGGGGCAGGACCAGCTGCTGTTCTGCGACGACTGCGACCGCGGGTACCACATGTACTGCCTGACGCCGCCCATGTCCGAGCCCCCCGAGGGTGAGCCCTGCTCCAGGGGGCCAATCCACTGGGATCTGCCCCAAACCCATCGCTGGGATTCCTGGGATCTGCCCCAAATCCTCCCATGGGGCTCCTGATCCCCTGGGATCTGCCCCAAACTCCCCTGGGATCTGCCCCAAATCCTCCCCATGGGGCCCCAATCCACTGGGATCTGCCCCAAATCCACCCCTGGGGCTCCTGATCCCCTGGGATCTGCCCCAAATCCACCCCTGGGATCTGCCCCAAACTCCCCTGGGATCTGCCCCAAATCCTCCCCGTGGGGCCCCAATCCCCTGGGATCTGCCCCAAATCCACCCATGGGGCTCCTGATCCCCTGGGATCTGCCCCAAATCCTCCCCATGGGACTCCTGATCCCCTGGGATCTGCCCCAAACCCATCCCTGGGGCCCCAATCCCCTGGGATCTGCCCCAAATCCTCCCCATGGGGCCCCAATCCCCTGGGATCTGCCCCAAATCCTCCCCATGGGGCTCCAATCCCCTGGGATCTGCCCCAAACCCATCCCTGGGGCTCCTGATCCATTGGGATCTGCCCCAAATCCTCCCCATGGGGCCCCAAACTCCCCTGGGATCTGCCCCAAATCCATCCCTGGGATTCCTGGGATCTGCCCCAAATCCTCCCCATGGGGCCCCAATCCCCTGGGATCTGCCCCAAATCCTCCCCCAGGATCTGCCCCAAACTCCCCTGGGATCCCACCCCAAATCCACTCCTGGGGGCTCCAATCCCCTGGGATCTGCCCCAAATCCACCCCATGGGGCTCCAATCCCCTGGGATCTGCCCCAAATCCACCCCTGGGGCTCCAATCCCCTGGGATCCAACCCCAAACTCCCCTGGGATTGCTGGGATTCCACCCCAAATCCTCCCATGGGGCCCCAATCCCCTGGGATCCCACCCCAAATCCTCCCATGGGATCTGCTGATCCCCTGAGATTCCACCCCAGAATTTTCCCTGAAATTCCTGATCTCCTGGGATCCCACCCCAAATCCTCCCCTGGGGTTCCTAAATCCCCTGGGATCTGCCCCAAACCCTCCCCTGGAATTCCTGATCCCCTTGGGATCCCACCCCAAACCCCCCCGGGGCTGCTGATCTGCCCCCAAACCCCCTTGGGGTTCCTAAATCCCCTGGGATCTGCCCCAAACCCTCCCCTGGGATCCCCCGTGCCCCCAGGTCCCTCCTGGCTTTCCTTCAGCAATGTGGGGTTTGATTGTCCCAAATCTTCATCTTCCTCCCCTTTTTCCTACTCCTCTTCTTCTTCCTTTTCTTCCTCTTCTTCCTCCTCTTCCTCCTCTTCCTCCTCTTCCTCCTCTTCCTTCATTCTCCTTTTCTTCCTCCTTTCTTTCTTCTCCCTCTTCCTCCCTCCTTTTCCCTCCTCTCCCTCCCTTATTCCTCCTCTTCCTTCTCATCTTCCTCCCTTTCTTTATTCTCATCCTTTGTCCTCCTCTTCCTCCTCCTCCTCTCTCATGAACCCCCATGATTAATTAACTGCTTAATAAACTGCTTAATTAACTGCTTAATTAACTCTTTGCAGGGAGCTGGAGCTGCCACCTCTGCCTGGACCTGCTCAAGGAGAAGGCGTCGATTTACCAGAACCAGAACAGCTCCTGATCCTGCTCTTCCTCCCCATCCTCATCCTCATCCTCACCCTCACCCCCGTCCCTCCTCATCCTCACCCCCTCGCCTTTGGGGCCTTTTATTTCCCCTTTTTTTTGGGTCCTTTTCCCCTTTTTTTTGGGTCCTTTTCCCCTTTTTTCCCCTTTTTTTTGGGTCCTTTTCCCCCTTTTTTTTTTCCTCTGTTTTGGGGTCCTTTTTCTTTTCTTTCCCTTTTTTTTTAAATTTTCTTTTTTTTTTTCATCCTCTCGTTCCCTTTTTCCCCTCCATTTCCCTTTTTCCCTTCTTTTTTCCCATCCTTTTCTTTTAAACTCTTCCATTCCCTTCATTCCACCTTTTTTTTTTTTCCTCCTTTTTCCCAATTTTGGCTCCTTTTTTTCCCATTTTTTCCCCTCTTGACATTTTTTGGGGTGACCCCCCCCAGGGTGACATTTTTGGGGTGACTTTCATCTTTTCCTGCCCAATTCCCAGGATTTCACCCCAAAACTGACCCCCCTCCCTCAAACTTTCCCTTTTCCCCCTTTTTTTTGGGAATTCTGGGGCAATTTTGGGGTTTTTTTTTCCATTTTTTGAGGGATTTTTCCCACTTTGATTTTTATTCCATTTTCCCCCATTTTTATCCCCCCCCCTCAGGATGGCTCACGGCCCCTCCCCCACCCCCACGAGGCCTTACCCCTCCCCCACCCCAAAATGGGGCAGAATCCCTGGATTTGGGGATTCCCCCCCACCCCTCCCCCGCTGGCAGAGAATGGGGCAAAACCCCCAAATTTTGGGGTTTTCCCCTGGCTCCCCTCCCCCCCCCAGGGTCGGTTTGGGGTTTGGGGGTGGGGGAGGGGTCGAGGTTGGATTTTTTGGGGTGAAAAAAGCCCCTTTTGGCCCCAAAACGCCGCTGGGGGGCAGGGGAGGGGTTTGGGGCTGTGGGAACCCCCCCCCCTCCCAAAATTCCCCAAATTTCCCCCAAATTTCCCCCTTCCCCCGGGTCCCGTGGACTGAATGTGCCTGTTTTTCTAAAAAAACACAAAAATAAATGGACTTTAAAGCACCTACCTCCGAGTGCCCCTCCCCCCCTGCACCCCCAAATCCCCCCGGACCCCCCCGAGAGGAGCCCCCGGGATGGGCCCCAAAAAATGGGCAAAATAACCCAAAAATGGGCAAAATAACCCCAAAAATGGGCAAAATAACCCCAAAAAATGGGCAAAATAACCCAAAAAATGGGCAAAATAACCCAAAAAATGGGCAAAATAATAACCCCAAAAAATGGGCAAAATAATAACCCCCAAAACGGCCAAAATAACCCCAAAAAATGGGCAAAATAACCCCAAAAAATGGCCAAAATAACCCAAAAAATGGACAAAATAACCCCAAAAATGACCAAAATAACCCCAAAAATGGGCAAAATAATAACCCCCAAAACGGCCAAAATAACCCCAAAAAATGGGCAAAATAACCCCAAAAAATGGCCAAAATAACCCAAAAAATGGACAAAATAACCCCAAAAATGACCAAAATAACCCCAAAAAATGGGCAAAATAATAACCCCCAAAACGGCCAAAATAACCCCAAAAATGGGCAAAACGATCCCAAAAAACGGCCAAAATAACCCCAAAATGACCAAAATAACCCCAAAAATTACCAAAATCATGCACCAAATGAAATCACCCCAAAACTCCTGAAATAGCCCAAAGTTTGACCAAAACAGCCCCAAAATGACCAAAGTAGCCCCAAATTTACTGAAATTGTGTTGAAATAGCCCCAAATAGCCCCCAAATAACCCCAAAGTGACTGAAGTAATCCAAAATTGTACAAATAACCAAAAAAAGAGACCAAAATAGCCCTGAAAGCACTAAAATACACCCAAAATAACCCCCAACTGACCCAAATAGCCCCAAACTTGACCAAAACAACCCCAAAATGACCCAAATAGCCCCAAAATAAATAAATAACCCCAAAGTGATGATGCATCCCCAAAATTATATTTAAAATCCAAAATATCCTGAAATAAAACTCCAAATTGACCAAACCCCAAAAAATCATGGAAATGACCCAAAAATGACTGAAATACCCCAAAAATGGCCAAATTAAACCCAAAAATGACTGAAAATTCACCCCAAAGTGCTCAAAATTGACCCAAATCCCAGAAATCCCTCCCAAAATTCCGCACCCGAGGCCTCATCCCGGTGGTTTCTCTCCTCCCCGTCCCGAGCACGATTTTGGGGGGAATCGACGGCGTTTTGGTTCAAAATGGGATTTTTTCCCCCTTTTTCATGCCCTGCCGGGGGTGGGGACATGGAAATGTCCCAAAACCAGGGGGATTCACCCCAAAACTCCCCTGGGCGAAGCTTCACGGTTGTGGCTTATCCGGGAACGAGCGAAACGACACCAAAACGGCTCAAAATGCTCATTTTTCGTAATAAAAACTACAAAAAATGGAGTGAGTGGGGTTTTTTGGGCAAAATGGGAGGGGTTGGGGAAAAAACAAAGTATGGGGGAAAATTTGGGGGAAAAAGGTGGGATTGGGGGTAAAAAATTGGGGATTTTGGGGCAAAAATTGGGATTTGAGAGCGCAATGTGGATTTGGGGCAAAAATGGAGGATTTTGGGGCTGGTGGGTTCCTGGATTTGGGGTAAAAAAAGCCCAGTTTGGGATGTGGCTTCTCTGAGGGTTGAGACTGAGGTGGTGCTGCCTGGTTTTTGGGGTGAAAAATCCCAATTTTGGGACTGGGATGTGGCTTTTCCAAGGGCCCATCCTGAGGTTGTTCTGCCCTTTTTTTTTGGTGTTAAAAATCCCAGTTTTGGGATTGGGATCTGACTTTTCCAAGGGCCCGTGCTGAGGTTGTTCTGCCCTTTTTTTTTGGGGTTAAATCTGCCCCGTTTAGGTTTTTTCCCCTGCCTGGAAATGCGAATTAATCCCGTTCCCAGATTTATTTTGCAGCCAAATCGCCGGAATTGGGGCAAAGGCCGCCGAGCTGCGGGAATTCCAATTAACGCTCGTTAACGAACCCGGGGGGGGGTCCCTGATGTCTGAGCCCCCTTTGGGGGTGGGGACGCCCCCAAATCCCTCGGCCCCTCCCAGAACGGCCGCGGGCGGAGCCGGATCCCGAAATTCCCACGAGATTTTATTGGGATTGAATTTGAATAAATAACCCGGGGGGGGAGGGGCTGGGGGGAACTCCAGGGGGGTCCCGGCCCCAAAATCCCCCCGGGGGTCCCCAATCCCCCCCTCAGGCGCCGTCCTGGCTCTTGGTGCTGCTCAGGGGGACGGCGACGTCGTCGTCCTCCAGGTGACCCGCCCTGGAGGGACCCCAAAGGCTCCCAAAAATCCCCAAAATCCACGAAATTTTCGTCCTTCCCGATCCCAGAACTTTCAACCCTTCCCAAAACCTTCAAGGTTCTCCCCAAAATGTTCAGGTCTTGCTAAAGGTGTCGACCCTTCCTGGCCCCAAAACCTCCAACCCAACCCCAAAGCCTCCAACCCAACCTAAAACCTCCATCTTAACCCCAAACCTTCATCCCAACCCCAAACATTCATCCCAACCCCAAAACCTTCATCCCAACCCAAAACCTTCATCCTAACCCCAAAACCTCCATCTTAACCCAAAACCTTCATCCCAACCCCAAAATTTCATCCCAACCCCAAACCTTCATCGCAACCGAACCCCAAAACCTTCATCCCAACCCAAAACCTCCAACCCAACCCAAAACCTCCATCCCAACCCAAAGCCTCCAACCCAACCCAAAACCTTCATCCCAACCCCAAAATTTCATCCCAACCCAAAACCTTCATCCCAAACCAACCCCAAAACCTCCAACCCAACCCCAAAACCTCCAACCCAGCCCCAAAACCTTCATCCCAACCCAAAACCTTCATCCCAACCCCAAAATCTCCATCTTAACCCAAAACCTCCAACCCAACCCAAAACCTCCATCTTAACCCCAAACCTTCATCCCAACCCCAAAACCTCCATCTTAACCCAAAACCTCCATCTTAACCCAAAACCTCCATCTTAACCCAAAACCTCCATCCCAGCCCCAAAACCTCCATCCCAGCCCAATCCTTCTCCATCCCTTTCCATCCCCAAAGCTCCTGGGTTCCTCCAAGAACCAACCCCACCCCAAACAGGGGCGTTCCCCCAGGGAAGGGTCTTGGGGGGTTTTGGGGTGTCCTCACCTCCTCTCCACGTCCTTGACGGTCTCGGGCAGGGGCGCGTTGCGGGTCTCGGGCAGGAAGCAGGTGGCGATGGCCGAGACGATGGGCGCGGCGCCGTAGATGACCAGGGGCAGCACCGGGGTGACGTCGGCCAGCATCCGCACCAGGGGGGCCACCATGCTGCCCACGCGAGCCATGGTGCCCCCCAGGCCCATCCCCGTCTGCCTGCGGAGGGATGGACGGATGGACACGGGGTGGACAGAGGGAGGGACACAGGGGTGGACAGAGGGATGGACAAGGGGTGGACAGAGGGATGGACAAGGGGTGGAGGGATTCATGGATGGGTGGAGGGACGGATGGATGGATGGGGGATGATGGATGGATGATGGATGGATGATGGATGATGGATGGAATGGCCAATGGTTGGGTTGATGGTTGGTGGGGTTAACAAGTGGTTGGGTTGATGGGTGGTTGGGTTAACAAGTGGTTGGGTTGATGGGTGGTTGCGTTAATGAGTGGTTGGTTAACAAGTGGTTGGGTTAACGAGTGGTTGCATTAACGAGTGGTTGCATTGATGAGTGGTTGCATTGATGAGTGGTTGGGTTGATGAGTGGTTGGGTTGATGAGTGGTTGGGTTGATGATTGGTTGGGTTGATGGTTGGTTGGGTTAATGAGTGGTTGCATTAACGAGTGGTTGCATTAATGAGTGGTTGCGTTAACGAGTGGTTGCGTTAATGAGTGGTTGCATTAATGAGTGGTTGCATTAATGAGTGGTTGCGTTAATGAGTGGTTGGGTTGATGACTTGGTTGGGTTAACGAGTGGTTGCATTAATGAGTGGTTGCGTTGATGAGTGGTTGGGTTGCTGATTGGTTGGGTTGATGATTGGTTGGGTTGATGATTGGTTGGGTTGATGGAAGGCGGGGTTGGCACGTGGCCGGTGCCTGGCCGGGTGGGGGCGGGGCTGGGTGACCCCACCCACCTGATGACGGTGGGGAAGAGCTCCCCGGTGAAGATGTAGGCGCAGTTGAAGGAGGCGGCCAAGGCGCCCTTCCCCACCACGGCGAAGGCCATGCGCAGCGTCGGCAGCTCTGCGGACACAGCAGCCTCGGCTCCTCAGTGTCCACCCACCGGTCACCCCCATGGTGACCTTGCGCCCCCTGATGACCCTTCACCCCTCCAGTGACCATTCTTCAATGACCCTTCATCCCACTGATGGTCCTTCATCATCCCTCCATCCCAACCCATTCTCCATCCCATTGTTCTCTATTCCGTTCTCCATCCCTGCATTCTCAAACCTTCCATCCTATTCTTCTCCATCCCATTGTTCTCCAACCCATTCTTCTCCATCCCATTGTTCTCTATTCCATTCTCCTCCATCCCTGCATTCTCAAAGCTTCCATCCCATTCTTCTCCAACCCATTTTTCTCCATCCCATTGTCCTCCATCCCCTTCTCCTCCATCCCATTCTTCTCCATCTCTCCATCCCATTCTCCTCCATCCCATTCTCCTCCATCCCTCCATCCTTCATCCCTCCATTCTCCTCCATCCCTGCCCCGTGTCCCTCCCTGTCCCATCCCATCCCATCCCATCGCTCCCGGTGGCCGCTCCCACCGCTGGGCACGAAGATGTTGGCCAGGATGCAGAGCCCGGCGAGCGCCAGGGAGCCGCCCTGGGCCAGGCGCCGGCCGAGGCAGGAGATGACCAGCACGGACAGGAGCTTGGCCGGGATGTCCACGGCGCCGAACACCAGCTGGCTCAGGTACACGTTGAAGCCGAAGCCCTGCAGGTCCATGGCCAACCCATAGTAGGCGAAGCTGGTGGAGAACCTGCACCAAAATCCAAAAAATCAGCACCAAAACCACCCAAAACTGAGTGGTTAGGACTGCAAAGATGGAGGTTGTCCCAAAAGATGGAGTTTGTCCCAAAAAATGGAAGTTGTCCCAAAAGATCGAGGTTTGCCCTAAAGTGTGCCTTGGTCCCAAGAGACGATTTTTTGCCCCAAAAGTTGTAGGTTTGACCCAAAAAGTGTGAATTTTTTCCCAAAACT